ATATTGGTGTGGAGAATCAGATGTGATTCTAACAGTAAAATTGTCAACATATAATTATTCGAGATCATCGCAAGAGCAGAAGTTGGTTGGTGTATAGACTCGAGGAAGATAGTGCTAAATTAGGTGGAGCTTGTAAGCAGGCACGACCAAATGACACACATGAAGATGAACATGGTGGCATTAGACTTGAAGACGATGGGTGCTCGTGTTCGGTCCAAGCTAAATGATGGAGGAGATAGAGGCATCCGGCTCATAATGTGGAGTAGGAGAGGTGCACCGATGTGATTCGAGATGAGCGATACAAGTGGAGGACGATGATAGCAAGCAGAGCAATGCTACTGTCAAGTTCAATTCGAGAGAAGCATGGTTGATTAGCTTGGTAGTGAAGATTTTTTGGTGTGCACAAGAGAGGTGGAGGCGCCACGACGATGCATGATAGCGTTGGTCACAATGCATCCTAGTTGGAGAGCGGGTGTTCCGATTAAGAGTGTGGGTGCTTCTGGTTGGAGTGCAAAAGAAATAGAAGACGGTAGTGCAAGATGCAAAATTTCAAGACGACAATGATAGATCTTTGAGGTGGCTTGGGAGTCAAATCCAAGGTGGAGATTGTTAGGATTGTGTCTTTGATTCTTTATATAACTTCATGAGAATTAGATAGGATTAGAGATCTATCATGATTAGGAGTTTGTATCCTATTCTAATTAGGAATTTTGGTTAGCGGTAGGGTTTTGATTTTCCTATATATTCTCTTCTATTATTGGAGGAAAAACAAAAAGAGAGGAGAGAAAGCCAATATTCTTGTAATCTAGGGTTAGCAGAAGACATAGACTGATTCAAGAATATTATGCAAGAGGCGATGGTTACGTAGTCTTTAACCGTGCAAAAGATTATAATATTAGGAGAGGATTTTACAGTTTGTATCCGTTCAAAAGATTGTAAGGAGTGGGTTTTTGAAAAAAAAAATGAGAATTGATTATGTATGTGAGGTTGAGAGATTAAGAGACGAAAATTGAGTGGTTCCTATTGTAGTTCTTCCTGATACATAGTTGGTCGACCGAACCACGTAAATCTCGATGTTCTTTCTTCTTGATTGTGATTGTTTTTATCTTGTAAATTATGGGTTGGCTTCCAACTTGCGGAGATCATACAATGCGGCGAGACTAAAAGTTCCCAACACATAATGCCCATATGACTTAATTAAGCACTAAAAATATGATACTTTAATAAAGATTTTGTTGGGGATTCGAAATAATCAAATCGAACTATTGCCCTTCCGAACCTTGTTAGAAAGTTGAGCAAGAAAGAAATTCACCACAAATTAAAGATAAAAACTTACATAAAATAAGAACAAGAGAGAACACACGAATTTAACGAAGTTCGGCAACGTGCCTACGTTCTCGGGAGCCACACCACACAATCTATTTGATTAATTGAAGGAATACAAATACTCAAACAATGGATTAATCTCTCTGAGATTCTCTCTTTTTTTTCTTTCTGATGGTTTTTCTCGTTATTATTAACCCTAGAAAACATATAGATATATATATATATGAATCCCAGCCAAAACAGAATTCAAAACAGATTAGAAAACTGCCAGCTCGACTCACGGTCGACCGCCGAACTAGTCGCGGTCGACCACAATCGGACCATCTGTCATGATCGACCGGAAAAAATCCAGAGAGTTTTCCTGTCTCGTGCACGTTCGCGGTCGACCGCCGAGAGCACCGCGGTCGACCGCACTGTAGTTTTTATGTTTTCTTCGTTTTGCTTCATCTTCTTGATTCTAACTTCGGCTTCAGCTTTGGGTCTACACTTAGACTAACAATCTCTCACTTGGAGACCAAAGCGCCAGCAGCGAGTTCACCCGAACTCTTCCCTTCTTCGCAAGTATCTTCTCCTCCCCGAAAAATCTTTTCTTCAATCATCAACATCCCAGTGGTCTCGCCGATCCTCCTAATATGGCCCCATCTTCATTTTCTACTCATGAAGGCCAACTGAAGTTGCACATAACTCTAGTTTCTCAATGGTGACTATCTTCGTCAACATGTCCGTCGGATTTTACTCCCCAAAATCTTCATTAAGTGTAACTTTTCGTCTTCAATCAGCGAGCATATGAAATGGTATCGTAAGTCGATGTGCTTCGTTCTGACATGGTAAACCGGATTATTGGTAAGATGTATAGCACTCTGGCTATCACAATAAAGAACTCCTCTCCCTTGCTTCAGATCCAACTCTTCCAAACACCCGTTCAACCAGATCATCTCTTTGCTTCAATCACCGTGACATATTCAGCCTCGGTTATAGATAAAGTCGCAATCTTCTGCAGACGTGAGACGCAGCTCACTGCTATCGACGCTAAGGTATAAACATACCACGTGATGTTTTGCCTCGTATCATAATCACCGGCGAAGTCCGCATCCACGTACCTCTGCAGCACCAACTCCTTCCTCCTGAAATATAGTAGCTTGTTCGTTATCCCTCTCAAGTACCGTAATATCCACTTCACGGTCTCCTAATGCTGTTTTCCTGGATTGCTTGCAAATCTGCTCACAACTACCACTACATGGGCAATGTCCGGCCTCGTGCAAACCATCACGTACATGAGACTCCTAATGACCGAAGAATATGACACCCTGCTCATATGCTCTCTCTGCATCTGTCTTAGGTGATTGCTCCCCAGATAACTTGAATTGGTTTCTAAGGGGTGTGCTAACAACCTTAGCATTCTACATATTGAACCTCTGAAGTATCTTCTCAATATATTCAGATTGACTCAACCTTAACGTCCCTTCAGCTTCATCCCTACTGATTTGCATCCCTAAAATCTGTTTTGCTGTACCCAGATCTTTCATTACAAATTTCTTTGTCAACTGCTTCTTCAAACTGTTTATCTCCTCTAAACACGATCCTGCTACTAACATGACATCAACATATAATAACAATATAATAAAACTGGACTTGAACCTCTTGAAATAGCAGCAATGATCCGAATTTTATCTTCTGTAGCTATTGTTTTGCATGAAGTTATCAAACTTCTTATACCATTGTCTCGGAGTCTGTTTTAAACCATATAAGCTCTTCTTGAGCTTGCACACGATCTCTTCCTTTCTTTCTTTAATGAAACCAACAGGATGCTTCATATAGATTTCTTCATCCAGATCACCATGAAAAAAGACAGTTTTCACATCTAACTGTTCAAGAAAGAGGTCTTCTGCAGCCACCAAGCTCAACACCATCCTGATGGTTGTGAGTTTTACAACAGGAAAAAATATCTCCGTGTAGTCCACTCCTTCCCGCTGCTGGAACCCCTTTACAACTAATCTGGTCTTAAAGCTCTTGCTTTCATCACTCTCTTGCTTGACCCGGTAAACCCATTTGTTATGCAATGCCTTTTTCTGTGCAGGTAGCTGGGCTAATTCTCATATCTTATTAGTGAGTGGAGAATCCATCTCCTCCTGCATTACATGCTCCTACTTCTGAGATTCACTCACTTGCATAGCCTCCTCATAGCACTCCGGTTCACCGCTATCTGTCAACAATAAGTAATCAATAGATAAAAGATATCTAGAATTTGGTTTAGGTACCCTGGATGACCTCCTAAGCTCCATGCCCTGGGTAGTTGCTTCTGTACCTGAAACCTCCTCCGTTCTTTGGTCAGAACAAACATCATCACCACTATCTGAAAGTTCTTCTAAATCTATATACTCGGATCCACCTGCATTCGAAGTGTTGCTCCCACTACTTTGGCTATCCTTGGCATTTTTCATGTCCTTGTATATCACCTTCTCATTGAATATGACGTCTCGGCTCCTGATGATATTCTTGTTCTTCTCATCCCAAAGACGATACCCGAACTCATCAATACCGTATCCAATGAATGTGCACTTTTATGACTTAGCCTCTAGCTTGTCCCTGACATGGTCACTGATATGAACATAAGCCACGTAACCAAATACCCGTAAGTGTAAGAGATTTATCTTCTTTTCACTCCAAACCTCCTCTGGAATCCTAAAATCCAATGAAACTGATGGCCCACGATTAATAAGGTAAGCCGCCATATGCACCGCATCCGCCTAAAATATCTTAGACAGACCTGCATATAATCGCATGCACCTGGCACGCTCTATTAAGGTCCTGTTCATCCTCTCCGCAATGTCTTTCTATTACGGCTTCCCTGGAGTAGTCCTCTCTAAGCGAATACCATTCGTAGCACAGAACCTCTTGAACTCTTCCAGCTCGTATTCTTCACCATTATCTGATCTCAGATACTTCACCTTCAGATCTGTCTCGTTCTCCACCATGACCTTTCACTTCTTGAAGACTCCGAACATCTCTGACTTGTGCTTTATGAAGTAAACTCACACTTTCCTCGAGTGATCATCGATAAAGGTGATATAGTATCTCGAACCGCCAAAAGAAGATACACTGGCTGGACCCCATACATCTGTATGAATCAATTCTAACTTCTGAACCTTAGGTGACATTCCACCCTTTTGAAAACTAACTCTCTTATGCTTCCCAAAGATGTAGTCTTCACAAACCCCGATTTTCACGGAGTCGATCCCGGTTAGCTTTTTCTGTGAATGTAAGATCTTTATCCTCTTCTCGCTCATGTGCCCTAACCTGTTGTGCCACAGATCTGTACTCTCTTTGCCAACTATAATTACGAGGGTGTCACTCGCATGTGAGGTGAGGTAGAGAGTCTCTAATTTGTTACCTCGGGCAACTACATTGTATCATTGGAGATTCTCCATGAATTCCCTGTGAATGTTGAAACATAGCCTTCTGCTTTAAGCTGTCCCACCGAAACAAGATTCCTCTTTAGCTTCGATACGTGTCTCACGTTCTTCAAGTTCCACTTAGAGCTCTTCATCTAAATCTGCACATCGCCCTTTCTAATAATATTACAGGGCTCATTGTTCCCCAAATACACTTTTCCAAAGTCTTCTGTTACATAATTTTGAAAAAGCTTCTTATTAGCAGTGGCATAGAAAGAGGCTCCTGAATCAATAACCTAAGAATCCGAATTGCTATCCATAGCAAGGATCAAAGCCTGCACGATATGAGCCTCCTGCTCACCCGCATCCTTCTTTGGACTCTTACAGACTGAAGACATATGACCCTCTTGGCCTTAGTTCCAACACTTTTCTTTGATAGGCCTAACCTTCGAGTTCGACCTCTTCTTCATTGACTTCGACCAATTTCTGTTCTGATTCCCTTTCTTCTGGCTTCTGCCTCTCTGTTCGAAGTTTAGGGCTGAACTTGAACCTTCTGATTCGAACGCGTTTCTTCTAACCTCCTCGGATAGAATCATACTGACCACATCACTCAGCTTTAAGTTTTCTTTTCCCGCCGAATTGCTGATTACCGTCACACAACGTGCTCAACTATCCGGCAACTGCGATAGTAATAAAAGGACCTGCACTTCGTCATTGAACGTGATGTCTACGGAGATAAGTTGATCAACAATCGTGTTGAACTCGCTGAGATGTATTATGAAGGACCGTCCTTCTGTCATCTTAAGATTGAAAAGAGTTTTTACCAGATGCATCTTGTTTGCTGCAGACGGTAGCTCATACATCTTCGCGAGCACTTGCATAAGCCCTATTGTCGTCTTCTCCTTCAAGATATTATGGGCTACTATCTTGACGAGCGACAAGCAGATTTGCTCTAGAGCCTTCCTATCCAGTCTCCCAATCATCGTCTGGCTCCTCTTTCTTCTGTCCCTTATCTTGCCCATCAACAAGCGATACAAGTCCTTCTGGTACAGATAGTCCTCCATTTGTGACTTCCGGTTGGCGAAGTATGAACCGTCAAACTTCTCGATCTTAGATTTGATTTCCTCTGTCAGGGCTTTCTCATAAATTACTGAACGAAACTCTGATACCAGTTGTTGAGGATTCGAAACAATCAAATCGAACCATTGCCCTTCCGGCCCTTGTTAGAAAGTTGAGCAAAAAAGAAATTCATCATAAATCAAAGATAAAAACTTGCAGAAAATAAGAACAAGAGAGAACACACGAATTTAACGAGGTTCGGCAACGTGCCTACGTCCTCGGGAGCCACACCACACAATCTTTTTGATTAATTGAAGAAGGAATACAAGCACTCAAATAAGGGATTAATATCTCTGAGATTCTCTTTTTTTTCTGATGATTTTTCTCGTTATTATTAACCCTAAAAAACATATAGATATATATATGAATCCCAGCCCAAACAGAATTCAAAACAGATTAGGAAACTGCCAGCTCGACTCGCGGTCGACCGCCGAACCAGTCGCGGTCGACCGGATAAAAGACAGAAACCCAAAAAACACCTACAGGGTCTTGCGGTCGACCGGACCATCTGCCGCGGTCGATCGGAAAAAGTCCAGAGACTTTTCCTGTCTCGTGCATGTTCGCGGTCGACCGTCGAGAGCACCGCGGCCGACCGCACTGCAGTTTTCATGTTTCCTTTGTTTTGCTTCATCTTCTTGATTCTAGCTTCGGCTTCAGCTTTGGGTCTACACTTTAGACTAACAGATTGTTCTTTACACAGATTTAAACATTAACCCAGTTACTGACTTAGAGAAGCTGAAAATTTGATAAGGAATTCAAGATACCGAGATGGCGAAGCGAGCCGAACGCCGCTGCTGAGAACACCCAGAGAGTCCTTTATCCCAAAGAGTGACCAGAGGTGATGAAATGCGCTGAGAAGCTGATGGGCTTTTCGAGGAGAGGCGACATTGCTTGGTCTTTGATGCGAAGCTGATGAATTTGGGAGCAGTAGCAGCTGATGGGCGAGAGTAAGGAGAAGGAGGAGGGCAGCAACGCGGGGTTGAAGAAGAGAGAGCCATTAGAGATAGAAGAGGAGGATTAAAGACTATCTATTTCCCAGAACCCAGTAGGAAATTGATGCAGAGACTTGTGGTTGAGTTGAGAAACAAAAGATTGGCCCGATTGGGGGTTGTTTCTTCTTGGGTAAATTTCAGAAAAACCCCTGAACTTTGAGCTGATTAGTACCAAAGCCCTACGATGGTTAACAATTAAAGAACACTCCCTGAATTTTGGGGAGTTTCACAGAACTCTTCTACTCTTTTGAACAAAATCCACAGACTGGTAATGCCCTTTTAGAGAAGCAAACACGCTTCTTTGGAAAGACCGAAAATAAAAACTCCACACTAATCTTTTTATAGTTTTTCTCTCTTCTTAGACAAACTATAGAACGAAATTTCCCAAAATCCTGGTGAAAAATTTTTGAGAGTTTAGAATGTTTTCTCTAATTTTTAAAGTTTAGTGGGTCTTGTGCAAGTCGTTCCAATGTTAGGAGGTTTCTAAAATTATTTTTTCTTTTTTCTTTCTTCTCCACCGCACGAGAGAGGAGGAGAGAGGGTACTTGATGTGGGTGCGTGCCTGCGTGGTTGGCAAAGCACGTGATGTATATTAATAATTTTATATGACAGCCATTGTGTTTTATTTCTCTAAGTTAAGATTGAAAATTAATATTGGTATGTGTAGGTTAGGTGCACAATTATTTTCTTCTTTTCTTACGGGGAAAAACATTACTAGAGAACTGACGTACTCCTATATTGAAGTTCTACTGGGATCAATGTTATAGTTTTTCTAACTTCATCACTGTGGTTTATTACACTGAAAATAAATATAATTTTGGTTCCACACATATCAAAGTTTGTGCTGACTTTACAGATAAATTCGTTTGCTGGAATTTGTCAACAAATAAGTGTATTAAGTCTGCTAATCCTTGCACACTCGCAATTTGACTTTACAAACAAACAATTTACAATAGGATATAGATAAACAGTAATTCTTTCAGTTGCATCACTTTCTGATAACTTAGTCATGAATCCTTTTGGATAGAGAGGGATAAAGTGGAGCATTCATATGCGTTGTGTAAGAGCATGCAGACCACTTATAAGCCTGCTTGATTTATATAAGGTGGCTCATTTTGCCTATAATAAACCTGTTAAATGTAAAAGAAATATATTTAACAGGAGTATCTTCCAAAAAAAAACAAGAAGAACTACAACAATTCAATAATTGGAGTATAGAACCCAACAAGATGAACCGCATGGTCTATACGATAAAAATTGAAGTTTTCCTCAGTCAAGGATTTCCAGATGTGCCATCTCACAGTCTCAACGCACGCTGATTTTTTTCACAATATTTCAAACTTTGATGGTAACTTTGAGTATCTGTATCCAAATATCTTCTATGTTGGCTTCATTGTTGAAAAGTATCATTTCGATCAGCATACCATGAATGACCACAACCAGCACATTCAAGCTGCACACGGTAATGGAGAAAAGTAAAAAGATTGAGATCACAGTGTAATTCCCAGACTCTTAAGAAAACTTAAGTTTTAACAATAACAAATTTAAGTGATAGAAGATGAGCATCACTGCAGATAGAAAAAACAGTCACAGGAAGCACAAGCTGAAATAAAATCAATTTTGAAACAGAAGAAATTTAGAAGAGACTTGATTTGGACTACTTTGAATAACAATTCTTCTTGAATTTCTCATACTGGTTGAGAGAGAGAGAGAGAGAGAGGTCTTAAATTTAGCTCCTCTAACCATCTAATACTATTATAAAAGTGTGTTGGTATGTTAAAACATTTCTTCCCAAAGTGCCCTCAAATTTATGCTAAACCATATACATACATAACATAACACATACATAAAACATACAAATTTATGTTAAAACGCATACATACAAAACATAACATAACACATACATAATAAAACATATAGATACATGCATAAACCATAACTATGTATATTTATAGTTAACACTTAATGACCTTTTAATTGATACATGCATTATGTCATTAGTTACAATTGATAGTTACCTCAACGTACGTTTTGATTGATACTTAACGCTTGCTAACACTTAATGATATTTTAATTCATACATGCATTATGTCATCAGTTACAAAAAGAGTAAACTATTTGCCTTCCTTGAAAATTTTCTTTAATCATGATGACATTAATTCTAAAAGGAATCTCGAACATCAATTGTCCACGTTACATACTTAATGTGAATCACATTAATGAATATGGGATAACATAAATTGTATGTTAATTTACATCAACGAATTTACAAGAAAGTTTAATAGTACTTTAAAAATTACATCAATGTTTGTTACAATTGATGTCATACGTGAATGCTTAGCTGCACGTGAATGCTTACGTTGCTTGCTGAATTAATGTCATCAGTTACAATTGTTTTTTTCTCTCATAACTACTTCTATCTCATATAAAACTCAACTTCCATCTTACCAAATCTTATCAAATCCTACCAAAAAAATAGAGATGGAAGCAACACTATGTGATTCAAAAAGGTTAGTAAAATCATGTTTTTTTTGTAAGGTATAAACTCTGAATTATCTCTATAAATTATATATTTTTTCGTGAAGCATGTCATCTGATCAAGATGGAACTAATGATCAAGCCAACATCGCGTTAAAAATTTATCAAAAACAATGGAGTATAAATGTTCGTGTCTTACGTAATACTATAGACTCCTTTAAGAATGGAGAAGAGAATAAACAAAAGTTAATTCTAATTGATGAAGAGGTGACACGAATTTCACATTACCATATTACCATGATTACGTAATTTATTCTACATTGTGTATTTTGCAGGGAACACTTATCCAAGCAATTTTATTTAATAAGCTGATAGAAAAGTTCAGCGGTTTATCGATAAAGGGAGACCATGATTACGTAATTTATTCTACATTGTGTATTTTGCAGGGAACACTTATCCAAGCAATTTTATTTAATAAGCTGATAGAAAAGTTCAGCGGTTTATTGATAAAGGGAGAGACGTATACTATAACCAATGGAGAAGTAAAGCCTCCAAATTTGAAATATCCAACAATTAATCCAGAAAATGAGTTGGCACTCACAACAAAGACAATCATTCGAGAAACAAAAAAAAATTGTATCATTGGAAAAGTTAAAACCAATATTCCTTTCATTTAAAGATGCTTCTGCTTTTGATGATGGAATAATGCCTTTTGGTAAGTTTTTTTAAAAATATTATGCGAAAAATAATTCATATTAATAATCACTAAAATTTCTCCATTGCAGATGTTGTCGGATTCGTAACAACTGTGAAACCAATTTAGTTTGTTTTATTTTTAGGCGAGTTTCAATTATCTACAAAATCATCAACTCTGGTGCTCGTGAATCCTGAAATTCCACAATGTAGAGAAATGATAGACTGGTAAGTTGGAAAAAAAAATTCATGATCAGTGAATAGATCAATTGCCAATAAATAATCAATATGGTGTAGTTGCACGTCCTATGTATGGTTTTTGTTGGCGAGTCCGACATATACAAAAATATTAAATCAAATTTTCTCAAGTTTTTTTAATATTTTTTTGGCCATTGTTATTTTTTGGCCATTGACATTGATTATTTGGGTCATTTATTTCTTAAAAATATATAAACAGTAATATAATGTAAATTCTGTCATTAAACTTTTTTAACTCTTACTTCTCATAAATTTTAGGCTTAGAAATTCAAACAGTGAAAGCAGTAAAAGTGTATTATTGACACCAATAAAAAGTATTACTCAAGCAAATAGGGTCAAGCTGACTAATGTTATCAATACTTCGCCTCAATTGTCTAAGGTATGTTAAATTTAGTAATAATGAAATTTAATTTAATCTAAGGTATGTTAAATTTAGTAATAATGAAATTTAATTTAATTAATCATCTATCATGATTCCGAGAATACCATTATCTCCAGCTGAAAATGAGGGTTATCCATTCCAATTTCGTAGAAAACAATTTCCAATCCGACTATGTTTTGCAATGACAATTTCGTAGAAAACAATTTCCAATCCGACTATGTTTTGCAATGACAATAAACAAAGCGCAGGGACAAATAATACCTTATGTTGGAGTTTATTTGCCACACCATGTATTCTCACATGGTCAATTATATGTTGCATTATCAAGTGGGATATCAATGAGAACAACTAAGGTATTAGTGAAAGTTGACCAAACAAGAAGAACAACAATAACATACACAAAAAATATTGTGTATCCAGAAGTATTATTGCCTCAAAGGTAAATCACCTCATCAAAATCATGACTCATTATTTTTTCATTCTATGATGCACATTTTGTGCAAATTAACTTTCAAACAATTATTATCTAACACAATATTCTAATATGCAGCGAAGATGTGTATTAAAGTTGTTAACTATTTACAATGCAACGGACTATCTTTGATCTCAAAGGTAATTTCCCCATTTATGTAACATTTATAGTTAGGTTTGATCTTCCATAAGTTTATGATGCCTGATCATGCTCGATTCAATTCTGTTTGCAGGTCATGGACTCTAGCTATTATAGATCAAATTGCCTTGTTGCAGCCCGATTCCCCATAGCTCTCTACAGTTTGACAAAGATGCATCTTTTGAAGTTGATGAATTCTGCTAAAATTGAGCTCCTTTCTGTCAATTTATATCAAACTTAAATAAGATATGATTATGCTACATTAAGTGAACATATAATTAAATAATTTTGGTTACTTCATTTATTTATAGTCTTTTTGGTCAATATACTGGTTTTTTATATGCCAAATTAGTGTTTTTTATGATGCTATTTATAACCCTATAACATCTATTTATATCATAAATAATATATATATTATCTATGACATCTTTCATGTATATGTCAAGTAGAAAAAAAATTAATCAATGAAATAAAAACTATAGGGCTACATATAAACATGAAAGTATTTACACGTGCAACGCACGTGCACCATACTAGTTACACCAAAACTCTGAAGTTTTGGTAAGGATAAATGATTATAGTTTTATATTAATTCTAACATGCCCCAGCAGGTCGAGCGTCCTTTTTTATGGGTCGAAACCTGGACTCACGTAGCAGTGTCAATTTTTAGAAAATCCGCATTTAATTCGTGGCCCGTGGGATTTGAACCTAGGTTGCTCTGATATCATCTTAAATTTAGCTCCTCTAACCATTACACCAAAACTCTGAAGTTCTAGTGAGGATCAAGGATTATAGTTTTATATTAATTCTAACAAGAGGTATGGAGCATTTAATTAACGTATGACTGGAAGTTGCAAAATAAAAACAAAATCTAATCTATATTTTATACCTGGTAACGATCCCCACGTCCTCCAGCTTGGATTTATTCAAGAACACCTACTTTCTTCTCCATGCATTGTGGACATGAAGCGTGTATCATCTGATTACAGACAAACATAATGATAAGCTTAACACATACCTTTTGCAATTTCTGATTTAAATTGTCAGATCCATATTGTTATCTAACCTGTATTTTCTCTGATTCGTCTTGCTCCCAGATATATATTTCTTCTGCAGCCATGCCCGCCTATAATATTCAAGTTGAAACTAGTCAAGAAAATACCTTATTGATCTCCTACCCATGAGCTGATTATCTTGAAATTAATACAATGTCCTAGCATGAAGAAGGTGAGATCATGAATATCTAAACTCCAATCTCTTTCAATGCACCCCGTAATTTGTTTATAAATACCAGTTGATCTACGTGACTGGCCTACCTAAATCAGTGGGGCGATTTTATCCAGGAGAAGGCTAGAGCATTTGGTGACAGAAAAAAATTGAATTTTTCGTCACATAGAGAGAAAAATATTGGTAAAAGCGCCAGTCAGTGTATTGTTCAAGAAATGAAAGATGAACTATAAAATAATGAATCAAAGAGTGATAAAGAAAGAATATAATGGGTATGTGGAACTTCTATTTTAAAATGTCCTTCAGGATGTCTATTTTCTCATTTTCTGATTATTTGAGATGGTGCTAAGTGCTAACATTCAATTAATTATCAGTCTTTTGCATAGCTATATTATATAGAGAGAACTAGCAAGTACTTATATTAAATCATAAGGAATGCATTACATTTGAGATTGGGCAATCTGTTTTAAATTCATCTGAGATTGTGCAAAGTAAACAAACAAGTTCATCGAAATGGTTCATTAAGTATGACTTATGGATGCAAAAATACCTTTAGTTCATCTGGGCTCATGACCAAAATAGCTTTAGGTTCCAGATCTTTGTCCAGCAATCGTTTGGTCAAAACTACATTGTTCTGCATGAATCAACAGAGAAGGTTATGAAACTTTCTAATACTCCTATGCCTCGTTTGGTACGCGGGAATGAGGAGGAATGGAATGCAATTCCCACTTCCCATTCCCTCATACCAAACACACCTATATTTTAGATGTTGGAATGACCATTCCCTAGGAATGATCATTCCCACTATTTGTGGGAATGAGCATTCCAAGTGAGAAGATAAGGAATGGTCATTCCCATTCAAGTGAGAATCAAAAACTAGTTAGGTATTTTTTAATTATATCCATATTAATAATAAAGAATGTTTGGGTGAGGCGCTATGCAAGTGGGCAATTTTAGATTGACAATTTAGGCTAGTATATCATTTTGCTATTTCGAAACTTATTATTTTAGTTAGTATTGTTTTATGGATTTTTGCTATTATGAATTGAGTGATTTTGATACTTTATCAAATAAGTTAATTTATATATCTAGAACTGTGGATTGTGGATATCATTCTTTTTTTTTTGGACCTATGAAAGATACGATAATCTTTTTTTTATTTTTCTTTATTTTTTAAGACTAAGAAATAGCGAGTATTGTTTAAAAAATATAAACGAAACATACATCTGATGGATAACACGAGCATTAGTATAACACATACCTAGATTAATATAACATATGCGTATATAAAATTATTTAGTTATTATCATTAATGTTTATTTTTTATCTTATTAAAAATCTATGTTGTTGTAAGGGCATTATTAGAAAATGAGATTTCATTCTCACTTGTGTACTAGTGATACCAAACATGGGAATGAGAATGAGATTTCCATTCTAGCTTCATTCTACGAACGCACCCAAACAAGAGAATGAGAATGACCATTCCATTCTCACATGCAATCCATTCCATTCCTTCTTCCATTCCATTCCCAAGTCTGTCCATTCCCACGTACCAAACGAGGCGCTAGTGTTATTCATGTTTCAGTACTCCCAGTATTATTCGCATTCATTGCGTCCCAACCATATAAAAAATATCAAAGGGTTATACTAATGGTTTAATTAACATTCATCAGTACGAATAAGTGCCTATGTAGAAATTATTATAAAAGAATTATATCGTATTCAAGAATTATATGGTATTCCTACCTTGAGATTAAAATCCAACTGCCGCATCTTCTGGTTATACTTGTGTTGATCAATAGAGGTTTCATAGGTAGCCCTCTCGCGGGAAGCTTTTGCTAATACAACATCCATGCAACACTTATCATCACCAGCCTATGGAAATTCATCAAATAACATTTTATATTTTGAGGAATCAAAGTAACCAATTGATCTACTAACAAGAAAATATACAACTTCTGGATATATGACTTTAGTATGAACTATTGCATTACCTTATCTTTATTCTTCTAATAGATCATTCCCTGAAATGCACACCGTAGTTATTCCTTGAAGAAGCTTTGCCAACCACTTGTCACGACATTCATTACCAGTTAGTACTTTATACTTTGCTAATATATCATGATAATAAGAAACGCCACTGTCAGATCTCATTGTTGGCTTAATCCTTGAGGTATTTTTCTTCTGGATTCTCTTTTTCTTCTTCTCCTGGAATCAACAGCCACAATATCCAGAAGATCCCCTAAATTCTCCACTGTACTCTGAACAAGTCTATCAATTTCGGATCTAGTATCTTCATCATAGTGATTATTACAAATCCCCGAAGTTTTTTCTTGTGAAAATCATAAACTCTTTGAACAAAAAACCTGGGTTTCATAAGATATCAGGTAATTGCTTGTGATGAGGAATAAAATGCACTATGCAATGGTGCAAAATGCTTTCTGCTGGAAATTCATCGAAATGAAAACTATAAAAGAGTTCTCTAGTATCATGAGCTTCCTATGTCCCGCCTCTCTTTTCCCTTGCTTCCTCAGGACAATAAAACCATTGACCAGTAACAATATCTTCTGTTATATTCTGTGATCGTAAAGTTCTTCATAAGAATTGAATATTCGATTTCAGAAAATTAATTCAGAAAAAAAATTTGACTCATGCAAGATGTTTAATGAGTTAAACATGAAGTACTACATAAAACTAAACTTAGAAGTTCAATTAATGAGTAAAACATGAGTAAAATTAATTCACCTTATATCTATCTCAAATTTATAAAGGAGGTATGCATGTCATCGTAAATTGTTTCAATAATATATATCAATCTAAAGATACAACTCACTGAAGAAATAAGAGGATAGTAAGTAAACCAAGCAAACATCCATATAACAATGTAAAGAAAAAATATTACATTTTAAATCTAATATCCAGCACTCTTTTAGAATAAGCTGCCAAGACAAAAGCATCTCCATTAAGGCTCCTTATAAATACAGCAGAAATTCAAATTACTAATATATACAACCATTATAACATTTGAAAGAGGTATGATCTTAGAAAACCTATACTAATATATACAACCATTATAACATTTGAAAGAGGTATGATCTTAGAAAACCTACTCTAAAATTCATACAATTAAACCTAAGAATAATTTACCATTTGAAAGAGGTATGATCTTAGAAAACCTACTCTAAAATTCATACAATTAAACCTAAGAATAATTTACTAATATACAGACACATTATCGCACCTTTAAGGTAACGATAACTACCATTTATAATACAGTTGAGCAATAGTTCTATGTTTACAAAGGTTGCAACAAGAAAATGGATAGAGATGTTAATAATAAGTGTTCAAATGATAAATGTTGTAGAATCGTCGATGATGTAGTACTAAGGTTAAGTGATATCCCTTCTTCATGAAAGAAATATATTAAAATTAAATATTAATATTAAAATCTAAAGCAAATTGACAATGAGAAATGTAATGCATTTAGTTCAGATCCTCATGGAAAATGACACACAAACAGAGCAAATGTAACATTATGACACAACAGAAATTTTTATTGGATGCATAACAGAAAAATTCATTACAGAGAAAAAAGAGGTAGTTCCTAACTTTATTTAAGTAATAAATTAAAAGCACAAAAAAATTCATATATATGAAATTAATATTTATTCTTATTGAAATAGGAAAAAATCAAAGTCCATATTGTCAGAATTTTGTGTTGAACATAAGAAATATATTCAACTTCTTTGTGAATTTAGACGAGAAGACAAAAGATAAATGAGCCTAAGAAAAGATAACATGCTCCAGCCTCATATCACAGTCGATGTAAACGATGAAGATATTACTCTAGAATTGCCCAGGAAAAAGATAAAGATGAAGAAGGATTGATCTCGACTCAATAAAGAATAAAATAGAAACAATAAAATATAATGTTTTGTGAATTATTATAGAATAGTTTAATTTTTTTAGTAAAATTAGGAATTTTTAGAAGGAATTTTCATAAACTATTTTTAGTGCTTTCATATGCATATGTAGATGTTTTTATCATATAAAAGTATATTAGAGTTAACATTAATCTTTAGTTTATGATTTTTCATTAACTATTTTATGTCATTTTAGCCCACTTTAAATCAATCATCTTAGCTCATTGGCTTTATTATTCATCTTTCTTTTATAATGTAATTTTTTCAAGTGTCCACTTTCATAACACTATACTTCCCCAGGTCAAGCTCAGTTTCATGCCGATCCAAATGAAATAAAAATTTAAATTGACTTTAGATTATGTTATCTCCTGACAATTCAACTATCAACATAAAAATTTAAACTAGGTGTTTCCTATTCAAACAAACATCAAATAAATACATAATCAAAGTGTATTCGAGGAACAAATTTTAGTAAGATAATAAACCAAAAATACTTAAATTAAAGTGAGCAAAAATTATCAAAGTGTAACCGAGGAACAAATTTTAATAAGAAAATAAACCAAAAATACCTGCTCACAGTATTTAACCACGTGCATTGCACGTGTATAAAATCTAGTAAAACTAAACTTAGAAGTTCAAATTCCAGTTCCATGAGTGATCTGAAATAATACATAGCAAATATATACAAATATCACTTATATAGTTATATTGAATTTTCCTTGAGGGTTAAGCATGCTTCATTTAAAAACAATAGTAAATCTTCAAATATATAGTACTATTCAAGCAATCAATACTAATAAAGGCTTAACAACCATAAGTGAGTACATGATAGCTTTATTCAATTGTAATTTTTTAAGAAATGCATGTAGGTCTACAGAGCTCCTATAAAGGGGTTTCAAAATGAGGAATAAGTCTCTAATCAAATAACTGAATAGGTAGTCTAAAAATCCTCTTGTCCATTGCAAATTAAAAGATTTGAATTCATAATCTCATTCAAAAGAAATAGTGGTATCATTAAAAAAACTCACTTTCTTGATCATTCATCTCTAGATCATGAAATTGAACGGTCATTACTTCAATATTAGGATGTTGATAATTGGTTAACTAAAGATTAAAAATATTGTTAAATTCTTTTTAAAAAATCCACTTTCATGATCATTCATCCCTAGATCATGAAATTGAAGGGTCATTACTTCAATATTAGGATGTTGATAAATCGGTTAACTATAGATTAAGTATATTGATAAAGTCTTTTAGATAAATACGCATATCTATAAAACCAATTATAAAATAAAACCAAATTGTGCAAGTGAGACAGCTTATTTTTTCCCAATATTTCAATTTACATGTTCATATTTATTTTTTGGAAAAATCCCAGGACATGATTCACAAGGCAATTCCCAGGACATAAATCCTCGATTCAAGCTCGTGTTCCTATAAATCAATACCTCCATCTGCTAAAGTTTAGCATATAATACCAGATTAATGCTATAAACAAAAACTCACATCAATGGCTGAATTAAGCTCACTTGAAAAAATTACCTTAATGATTGCCACGTGGTTTTGAAAAAATTACCTTAATAATTAAGCTCACATCAATGGCTGAATTAAGCTCACTTGAAAAAATTACCTTAATGATTGCCACATTCACACCTATAAAATCACCAGGGAAATAGGGAAAAAAAAACTTATGATGTTACTAACTTCTAATTATACAAATCAATTTAGAGAGGGGGAAAAAGAATAGGAGGAGACGAAGAGGCGGTGATGATTCTGAGATGGGTTTGTTCAATTACTTCAATAGAGGACTCAAAATAAAATTTGAGACACTAGGGTCTCTACATAAATTTTTTGTATATAACTTAATATGAAAAAGATTCAGGAAAGAAAAAACTTACTAGACTATACATAGTGCCTTCAAACTCAAAGGAAAGATAGCTTTTTTGTTCATAATTTGAGATCTGGTTCATAGGCTTAGCTTTCTCAAAATTTCTGCAGCTGCTACTCTCTGCTTCCTCATGAATGGTACTTTTGCCTTTGCTCATGGTAGCGGAGGAGTTGGAGCTCCACCCTTGTTGAAATTTGTGCAGAATTTATAGAATAAAGAAAAGAATAAGATACCTTCAATCAGAAAATTTTGTTTCCAATTTGGGTTCTTTGTTTCTGGAAGTTTGTTTGCATACAATTCACCAAATCTTCTTTGTGGTTTTCTCTATAAATTTACATTTATTTTTTGTTGAATAAGTGTCGTCATGGGTGAAATGTCATTTTGCTTTTATGTTTTATTAACTGTTAATTGACAATTATCTTTAATTTAGAAAAATCATCTCATGAAGTTCTCAAACAACAAATAAATAAATAAAATATTAAGAGAGTTTTTGAAGAATAGAAATATACTTCAGGAAGACTAATTGCTTTACATGAATAACTCATATAGCATCTAGAATTTTGTGAATAACAAAAAAGGCATATCCTTGAAAAGCGTCTTAGTTGAGTACATTGTATAGTATTATAACCATGACAAAATTAGAAAGGAAATCTGTAGTGAAAATTTAACAAGTGTAACACATGAAATGTTGACACCATTAAGAAAGAAAGGGGGAGTGTATTCATATGAAAACAAAGGTAGTGTATCTAATTTCAAACCCATCTTCGAAATTGGTGGTCATTTTCAAATTAGGGAAAACTCTATTATTTGCTAATCAATAAACACCTAACTGGATTTCAAGAAACTCTTAATTGCTTTCAAATAAACCCTACTTATAATTTTGAAATAAAATTGTACCCGAAGCCTAGGTTTGCATTCAATTAAGCATGATAATCTTCATATTAACCAGCTACAACTACAAAACCACATATGAGTGTTGGGGAATTTTAGTCTCCCCGCCCACTGTGATCTACGCAACTCGGAAGCCAACCACAATCGACAATATATAAAACAACCATAATCAATAAGAAAGAACACCGAGATTTACGTAGTTCGGTCGACCAACTTCAACCTATGTTCATGGACAACAATATGAGAAAATCCACTATGTATTAGGGAGAACTACAAGAGGAACCACTCAACTCTCGTCTCTCAATCTTTTAATCTCACATACATAATCAACTCTCATATTATCTCCAAAGCCCTCTTCTCACAATTTTTTGAACAGACAAAGACTGCGAAACCCTCTCCTAATGATGTAATCTTTTGAACGGACAAAGAGTGCGAAACCCTCTCCTAATGATGTAATCTTTTGCACGGACAAAGACTGAAACTCTCGCCTCTCACACAATATTCTTGAATCGAGTTATGCTCTCTGTTAACCCTAGATTACAAGAATATTGGCTCTCTCTCATCTGCTTGGTTTTTTTCCTCTAACCCTATCTAATTCTCATGAAGTTATACAAAGAATTAAAGACACAATCCTAACAATCTCCACCTTAGATTTGATTACCAAGCCAACTCGAAGATCTACCATTGTTGTCTTGAAACTTTTTCTCTCCTGCTAGAGTCTTCTATTTTTTCATACTTTAAATCGAAGCACCTGCACTCTAACTGGATGCCCCTATGACCCTCACTTTCATCTGTTTCGCTATGACGCCTCCACCTCTCTTGTGCGCACCAAGAGATCTTCGCCACCTCTGACATTAGAAGCAAATCAATCATGCTTCTCCTCCCGAGCTGAACTTGACAATAGCCTTCCCCCCACTTGTTGTCCTCGTACTCCACCTGCATCGCTCGTCTCGAATCATATCAGTGCTCCTCTTCTACTCCACACTACGAGCTAGATGCCTCCATCTCCTCCATCACTTGCCTTGGATCGAATATGAGCCCTCATCATCATCAAGTCCAATGCCACTATCTCCATTAGCATGTGTGTCACTCAGTCGTGCCTCCTTGCAAGCTTTACCTAATCTGGTACTGTCCTCCTTGAGTCTACACACCAATCAACTCCTGCTCTCGCGATAACTCTGAGTAATTATATGCTGACAATTCTACTGTTAGAATCACGTCTGATTCTCTACACCAATCTCATCTATCGCATATTCATTTGCCCTATCTGCTATGCTGCAAAATTTGTCTTGCCGTTGAATAGCGGAATATCAAACTTCGGGCCCGAAGAAGTCATCATCCTCTAACCACAATCAAAATTCAAATCAGTCACTATAGAGATTTGCACGGACAAAGACTACGAAACCCTTGTCTCTTGCATAATATTCTTGAATTAGGTTACGCCCTCTGCTAACCTTAGATTACAAGAATATTGGTTCTCTCTCATCTGCTTGGTTTTTCTCTGACAATAGAAGAATATAAATAGGGAAATCAAAACTCTATCTCTAGCCTAACTTCCTAATTAGATTAGGTTTCAAACTCCTAATCATGATGAGACTCAGTCTCCTAATCACGAGAGATCTCTAACCCTATCTAATTTTCATGAAGTTATACAAAGAATCAAAGACATAATCCTAACAGTGAGGACAATCAGCCGAAAGCAAATCTTACCTTTGGGACCCAAGTAATGAACGTAATACCGAGAAGATTATACAACGTCCTTTTCCTTTAAGTCTAATGTCCTCTTCTAGCGAGGCGAAACTACCAGATTTATATATTTTGCTGACCATGCATGATGTATTGGTATAGTTTCTTACTCCTATGATAATTTGGTATATTATGTGGACTATGGTGATAAATGAGCCTCTTTTTTGTCGGAGCCAAAATTCTGACCATATTGGGTCATGTGAATCCTCATGTGCGGCGTCATGGCTGCCAACGTGGCGATAGTTGGGATCATTGCTGAAAGAGGATTTTTCTCATATTAGAACTCAAAAGTTAAGGTTCAAATTGGGAAATTTTGTTCTTCTTCCTCTTAGTATTAAAGTGGTTAGGGAATTGAAAATGGAGATGGTTGTTGATCTTCAAATTCTTGCTCAAGGTCTATTTCAAGCACGAGCATGAGAAGAAGCAAACAATGGCTCAAGGGGATGAAAAACTCTAATTTACACAAATCTACCACATTTTGTAGTGAAATTGAAGTTTTGAACCCATTAAATAACACCAAGCATCCTTACTAATGATCTAATTCCTCAAATTATTTTAAAATTTTAAATTTTGAACTCATCTTTTTGTGTCTCACTATGGCCGACAAAATAACCCTAATCCTCTTTAGCGTCTCAGTGTATATGGAAGTAATCAAGCCTGGAAGGTCCCAAACTCCATGCACAATGGGAATCTCTGTAATGTTTGAAAGATTCATTATCTTCTTTGTATGAACAAAGAAAGAAAGGGAGAACAGAGAACTAAGAGAAATTAGGTTTTGTTTACTCTCTTAATTGTTACCTGACCAAGTAAGCACACTTAATTTATGTCGGGCGCATCTGAAGAGCCACATAATTCAATTTGTCACTGTTGTCTACATAATATATCAAATAATCGCTGGAGTAAAAATATATACCAATATGCGACATAGGATAAAAAAACCAATCTGATAATTTTGCGCTTATTTTTAACTCCTTTCGTTATTTTGTTTGCGCCAAATAAACATAAATCGGTTCAATTTCTATTAGAAAAACATATTTCCACGAATAAATCATCATTCGGGGGGTTATACGCAGAAAGTCCGTCTTCAATCTGCCGGTTTCGATTCAACAGCTCGTCTTTTTCCCCGCTCTGTCTCCTTCCACTACTTTCGACTCCACAAGCCCAAACCCTAATCTTCGCCTCCTCGGCAGAACCCTAAAGCCGTTAACTCTCCGGCGAGCTCCTCCCGCTAATGTTGAGAAGAACCGAGTGCGAGATTTGGGAGAATCGATTCGCGCCATAAATTTGAGAGCAGATCTCAAGTTTTCTATCAAATTAGGGTTTCGATCCCGAAGAATATTAAGGAGATGGAAGAAGGGAGAGAAGAAGCAGCAGCAGCGGAAGAGGTTCTCTACGAGATCCGCCAGCACGCCGAGAGGCCTTTCTCTTCAGATTCATTCAGAGAAGAGGTTTTGAATCCTCTATTTGTTTGTCGCATTTTGATTTTTCTTATTTTCTTCTGATCAATTGTTGATCAATTGTTTCCCCCCTCGAATTTAGGTTGGCAGGAGTTCTGCTGGGGGTTGGCGATCGTATCTTTCATTTCAAGGTTTTAATTTTCTAATTTATGTTATTATTAATCGATTCTTCATGATTAGGTTCCATGACCTGTCGTAGAATCATATAAATTTCAAGGAGTTCCTATAGTTTTTTAAATTATAAGATTAGGTTCCATGACCTGTCGTAGAATCATATAAATTTCAAGGAGTTCCTATAGTTTTTTAAATTATAATTGTGAGTATTAACATCCAAGTTGTTATCATATAAATTTCAAGGAGTTCCTATAGTTTTTTAAATTATAATTGTGAGTATTAACATCCAAGTTGTTGTTTTACATGAAAATGTCTTTTTTTTCGTACTCTAGTTCTCTGGATTGTTTTAAGCTTACATAAGATGTTTTCCCTTGCTAAATAAGGTGCCAAACAGCTTAAAGAGAAATGGACTCGATATAAACGGCCGAGATTATTCACCAAAAGGACGTCTCTGTTTGTTTCACCAAATGGTGAATACATTGCAATAGCCTGCAGAAATCAAATCACTATTTTGCAGAAGGGCGATAACTATATGCATCCCACTGGCATCTTTACAAGTGAGTCTCTGAATAATCACTTGTATACAAATTAGAAATAGGTGATTCAACGGAAGTTTTTTTTTTTGCCATTATGTTTTTGTTGTGCTTTACTTCTTTAGGTTGAGTGCTAAGTAAGAACCTTGTGATATTCTAGTAATCCATAAATAGCATCATTGGTTAAGCTATAGACTATAGTTGTATGATTCAGTTCATTTGGATGCTATTACTGGGCAGATCCTAAATTTTAATAATAGCAACTGCAGATAGAAGACAGTCTTACTAGGTTGCACTATTAGATGTCACTTTAGGCATCTAGTAAAGAAAGAGTTCTACTTTGGACATTGTTGGCCCACGTGATGCCTAAAGGTCTCGTGATGCTAAGGTATGCCAAACAAAAGAAGTACAATTTTCTCTGTTTTAGGTTTGATAAATTAGTTAGCTTTAAAGTACTCTTTGAATTTAAATGTTAAAGTGAATAACTCCCATCCTCTGCAAGCAAGGGGATGAAATTTCTTTAATACTAGTCAATAGTCCGAACACCACCAAATAAATTTAGGCCATCTGATGCTCTTCATTCATTTCAAGTGAAGTAACACCAATTAACCAGATAGTTTTGCCATTTTTGCAACACGACTCAGCACTTGGCTAATTGAGGAGAGGCAGCAGTATGCTGCTGCCACTGCCACTCATGATGAGTTCTCCATCTAACATGTGGATTAATGAAGAAGTTCCTAATATTTACTTTGTGCAATCAGGTAATGACAGACTGACTGCTTTTGCTGGTGGAGCTTGGCTGGAATCTCAGGGTATCCTTGGGGTAATTGATGAAATGAGTACCCTTTTCCTTATCAAATCAAGTGGAGAGGAACTAGTGAGAAGAAGCAGTAGCCAGTTAAAACTGTCTGCACCTATTATTGACCTGATTGTTCAGGATGATGTCAGGTTGGAAAAATCTTTCTGGTAACTTATACATCTTTACTTGCATAGCTTCGTGGGGTATTTTTATAGATGTACTGGAAGACTTGTATACTAGGCAATTTTTTTTAAACTGAATTTGTCATGGTAAGCTTTTGTACAGGTCTGGTTTCTATATTTTTACAGAGGATGCGTTGCTTCATCATGTTGATATCTTCCTTGATCCAACTGCTTGCATTTATCAAGTTCCAACTTCAAGTAGATTCTTAACAGACAAGAAGCAGTTTCCTCACAAAGTGTTCTGTTTGGACTTCCATTCAAGTCTTTCTTTTGGTGTGCTGGTTGGTGCTTCTAGTGTCTCGGAAAATTCTAGTGATGATTCTGGTAATTCAATATAGTGCCATAGGAACTTTTATGCAATTATTACCTTTGTTATTTATCTGAGTCTTTAAGCAACTGGGATAATGAGATATCTTGTGTATACATATATTGAATGAATGGCGTTTCTTGGATTTTCTCAGGTTTCTATTTTGTTTTTCTTTTTCGCCTGACAACAAATTTGGAGCTTGAGTTGTTGTTCTGCAGTCCTCAATTTAAAGGTCTCTTTGTAGCTTCAAATAGTGACAATGGTCCTTTTACCTCGCCCAAAGTGGCGATCTCACCCCATGCAAAGCATGTTGCTGTACTCAATTTGTCTGGGGGAATAGATTTATTTAACCTGGATGCTGAAAAATTCTCACTATCCAATATTTCTTTTGCTGAGACTCAGCATTCTAACATAGCTGATAGTTTGACACATACTAGTAAGGAATCCATACAGAGTATTGTTGACATCAGCTGGTGGACTGATCATATTCTTATTCTTGCAAAGAGGGAAGGCAACATTTCCATCTATAACATCATTAGTGGTGTAAAAGTTATTGAGAATGATCCAGTATTTTCTATGCCTGCTATTGAGAGAATGAAGCATCATGAAGGACATGTATTTGTTCTGGAGAGCAGCAAGTTGTCTGATGAGAATATATCACTCTCTGAGCCAGCAAAAAGCAAAAATATGCAGCAAACCAAGCCAATGTCTTCTATAACCGCGAATCAGCTTGACAATGACAAATTTTACTGGAGGTTGATGTCATTATCTGGGAAATCTGTTTCAGAGATGTATACTGTTCTAATCAGCAATCAACAATACCAGTGTGCATTGGAATTTGCCAGTCGTCACAAGCTGGACAAAAATGAAGTTTTCAAAGAACAGTGGCTGCATTCTGATCAAGGTATCCATGACATAGATGTGATTTTGCCAAAAATTACGGATCAAATGTTTGTACTATCTGAATGTTTAGATAAAGTTGGACCAAGTGAAGATATTGTGAAGGCTCTACTTTCTTATGGGCTTCGTATAACTGATGAGTACAAGTTCTTGGACTTGGATGATGGTCAATCAAACACAGTCTGGGATTTTTGGGTTATTAGGCTTCAGCTCCTACAATATAGAGACAAGCTGGAAACATTTATGGGGATAAATATGGGAAGGTGTGTAATTTTTCTTCAAGCTACAGGTGGATTATAGAACAATGGTGAATAATAACTGTCTTCTTGGGATATTTTATTTTTCCCCTCTAGTTTAATCCAACTTTTGGAGCATAAATATATCAGTATGAACAATTGAATTCAGCAGGTGACTGCCTACATTCTTTGCAACCTGAATAAGCCTCCAATTTACGAACATAAACCTCTAGTTAGAGAATAAATAGTAGATTCTTCTCTAAATATCACAATTTATTTGTCTTTGGCCTAGTCTATATTGCATGGGTGGTAAGATGGGACGGCACGAGATGGCACATTCACATAACATATTTTAGAAACTATGCAAAGACTCAGGCTTGGAGTCCAATACATGCGTACAACTAGTGCATCTGTCATGATACAGACATACAGTTGCATGATACTTGTTTCCGTGATACATCATACATCATACATGTAGTCAAAATATTCAGATTGTTGGTTTGCCTGCTGTGAAGCTTATCAAAACATCAACCTTAAACATGTTTTTTAAACATTCAGATGCGAAGTGCGATATCAGCGGCATGATATAGGTTTTATGTATTATCAATTCTCAAAATTGCTTTAAATTTTTAGAGGATGAAAATGTGCATTGTGTAGAGGTACTTAAAGACTACTCAACACCTTTATCAATGTTGCTCACCTACACTATGTTTAATTATTTTATTCTTCTGTTGTTCATACAATATAAATCTTCAGTGTTGTCGGTTCTTCTTAAATATGCTGATCACCAGCTTAATTCCTGGTGAGTATTTAATGCATTGCCTATCCAAGCGTTCATGACTTAATGTCCACGTATTTCAGGTTCATTTAGGCATTGTCCGTAAGTAATGTTAGATGCATACTTCATTTTTCAATATTTTGATGTGATGGGTACTTGGACATTTCAACTTTTTTGAGGATTACTCAAGGGAACTAAGACACTTCCATGGGAAATAAATCATCATAAGAAGATAGTGTTGCCACCTCTTCAATACCAATAACCTCGTGGAAGATGGAAGTCTCAACTATGTTAATTAAAGCCTACAATTACATAAATTGGACGTGTTGGATTTTGAGTATACTTCTCTATGCACAGACATGATAAATTACAGCTATGTCCATATGTTAATCTTTTAGAAGGTCCTTGTCTGCTTCTAGACACTAGGTCACTTGACGTCCATGTCTTGTTGTCATGCTGCATAGTTTATTCTTATTTGATTTTCAGCATCTTGCTTAGCTTTCCCCTATTTCTGCAGGTTTTCTATGCAAGAATACAGAAAATTTCGTGCTATTCCTCTTTATGAAGCAGCTATAAGTCTAGCTGAAAGTGGAAAAATTGGAGCTCTTAACCTTCTTTTCAAACGTCATCCGTATTCTCTCTCCCCTAAAATATTAGACATTTTATCTGCTATACCTGAAACAGTTCCAGTTCAGTCATATGGTCAGCTGCTTCCTGGGAGGTCACCTCCTAGTACCATTGCTTTAAGGGAAAGCGATTGGGTTGAATGCGAAAAGATGATCTCCTTTATAAACAACATGCCTAGCAATTCCGAGAAGTGTATCCAACTAAGAACTGAAAATATCCTCAAACAGTCTCTGGGCTTTGTCTGGCCATCAACTGCTGAACTCTCAGAATGGTACATAAAGAGAACAAGGGATATTGATAACTTGAGTGGCCAGCTCGACAACTGCCTTTCTCTGCTAGAGTTTGCATACTGCAAGGGTATGGTGGAGCTGCAGAACTTCCTTGAGGACACATCATATTTGCATCAACTAATTTATTCTGATAGTTGTGAAGAAGATTTCAGTATGAGTCTTATTGCATGGGAACAGTTGTCAGACTATGAGAAATTCAGAATTATGCTTAAGGGTGTGAAAGAGGACACTGTAGTGAAAAGACTTAATGACACAGCTGTCCCATTTATGAAACAGCGGTGTTTCTTTAAACCAGTAGATTCTAGAGATAAGATGGAAGAGAATCAAGGTTTTCCACATCAGGATGAGAAAGATTCATTTGTCGTTAGATGGTTGAAGGAGATTGCTGCAGACAATCTGTTAGAAATATGCTTGGCAGTTATTGAAAATGGATGTGGGGATTTCCCAGTTGATGGCCTTTTCAAAAATGAAGTTGAAATAGTTGAAACTGCACTCCATTGCATCTATCTTTGCACTCTTATAGATCAGTGGAATACAATGGCATCCATTTTGTCAAAGCTTCCAAGGAAAACACTAAGACATAACAGCAGCAAGGAGTTCAATACAAGGCATGGTACACAGAGTCTGGGAACACCTAGATTCTCTTACTTGAGAAGCCAACTTGGAAGGTCTGAGATGCAATTAAGTTCAACAAATTCACTTGAGGGAGAGCGTGCATCACAAAATTCTAGAGGCTCTGTGGACCATTTAGATAGTGATGCATCTGATGATATAGAGAGGAGAATAAATATTGCCGAAGGCCATGTAGAAGTGGGAAGACTTTTGGCCTTCTACCAGGTATATATCATCAGAATTTATTTTCTGAGTTTTTTGGTTTCATGCTAAATACTTGTAGTATGCATATTTGCTAACAATACACCATCAACTTTCCTGTGGGGAACCTTAATTTCCCTTTCTTATGAATCAGATAGCATTCCAGGTCTGAGTTGTATAAAGACGTTATTATTGTACTTTATTGGTAAACTGAAAGATGAAACCTGGAGTGGTGGTGATTGAGATGCATAAGTCCAGCTGAATCAATTATCAGTCCGTTAAGTGATGAATAATGCAACAAATCTTCAATTTTCAACACATCAACAAAATTAGGTGGACAGATGAATCATAGCTAACACAAAATGGTAACTTGGAGAGATTTCTTTGGGAGCATGTGACACAATGACATGAAAAATTATATGAAGGGTGAGAAAGAAGTCATTTTTGTGTGGAAATGGAGGTAACCTACCAGCAAAAGAGGAAGTGTAACTGATAGAAATACTTATGATGGGCTTCATAAAAAGAACCTATATTTAGTAGGTCAATTAATCTAGCAGCTATATTCTGTTTAGAAATTTTCAGCTGTAAACGCTAGGTCTGTCATACTTGTAGATATTGTTTTACATTCAGTGAGGCAGTCTGAACTCCAGAGTGCATTGTGAAAAAGAATAGGCGAACAAGTAACAGTAGTCAACTGAAATTTTTAACAAAGTAGATTTTGGGAGTATCAATGCATTCTGAATAAATTTGGAGTGCAAAAGTGATGACTAAATTGACGATCTGGAGGTATACTTGAAAAAATAAAACATAAATATGGATACACTCTTTGAAAGCAGAGTAGTTTCGCAGAAAATAAGGCTTCTAAACTGTTGTGTGATAAACCTGGTGTTTGCAATAACTAATTATGGGATGAGATGTTGGGGTGGAGATCAAAAGAAAAAGAATGTTTGAGGCAAAGATGAAAAAGATAAATTATAATGATTAAGATGTCAAAACTAAAGTGGTAAAGTGTTAACTATGATGTATCGACATGCAGATATAAGGAGTGAGGAGTCCTTTCTTAGTTGAGAGATTGCAAGTTAAGAGGGAGTTTTTTTTACTTTGATCTGCCAAAATTTTAAAAGTAGTATGTTCTGCAATGTCATTTGGCAATTGGCCCTATAAGATACCCCTGTTGAAGTTTACTCTTATGGAGTCTTCCCCCCATGCGACCATGAAAACCTTGAGAGTAGCAGGAAGCAACATCTCATCTTTAATTCTTTCTATAATTTACTGCTCTGTCCTGCAATTTTCCTTCCCCTAAATGCTTTATGAGAGTGTCTAACTGTTCTCACCATCATCATGTTCTAATCCTCACAGGAATTTGTTCAATCAAGTTAATGAATCACTTTTGTGTTCAGCAGATATTATGCAGCCTCAACTTTAAAATACTGACTTGAAGTTCACATCCTTTTTTTGTTTGCAGGTGCCAAAACCGATAAGCTTCTTTTTAGGTGCGCAATCTGATGAGAAGAATGTGAAACAACTTCTTCGACTTATTTTATCTAAATTTGGCCGCCGGCAACCAGGTAGATCAGATAATGATTGGGCCAACATGTGGCGTGATATGCAATCTTTTCGGGAAAAGGCATTTCCTTTTCTTGATTCAGAGTATATGCTAACTGAATTTTGTAGAGGGCTTTTAAAAGCTGGTAAATTCTCACTTGCAAGGAACTATCTGAAAGGGACGAGTTCCATTGCTTTGCAAACAGAGAAAGCTGAAAATTTAGTTGTTCAAGCTGCAAGGGAGTATTTCTTCTCAGCTTCAAGTCTTGCTTGCACCGAAGTGAGTATCCTGTTCAATTTTTGTGTTCATAAATGTGCAAATTATTTTGTTATAATCTACTATTGAGTTGCTGATAATTGAGTCAGTGACTTATGAAGATATTTTCAATTCTTCTTCTTAAGCGTATCCCATTTATTTATAAATGTTTAGGCGTTTTCCCCCTTCTTTCTCTTCCTTCTACATATTCTTGTACTCTGTTCTCCTTTCCTTTTTTATCTATGTTTTTTTTTTTTTTACTTTTTATTCCTTTCTCCTTTTCTGGTCTCCCCTCCTCATCCATCTTCCCCTTTTCTTTCTTTACTCCTTATCTTCTTACTCATTTTCTCTTTTTTCTTTCTGTGGGGGGTGTGTATGTATGTGGAGGTGTTAGCTGCTTAACTACTAAGGAACCAGATTAAACTATCTAGTTAAATTGTTAACTTATTTATGCTTTATCTTAGTCTGACATTATCCCAGTGAATTTGCTACTTTTTATGGTTAAGTTTGATCTCATAATGAAGTTTAATGGAAGACAAAAGGTTGAGTTAACCATGTACTGTAAGTTTGGTTATTTCTTTTTATACAAGCCATTGCTTCTATCCTGTTAAAAACTGTTTTAACCTCTTGAAACCTGAAACCTTGCAGATCTGGAAGGCCAAGGAGTGTTTAAATCTTTTCCCAAATAGCAAGATCGTTCAGATAGAGGCTGATATCATCGAAGCTCTCACCACTAGACTTCCAAATCTTGGAGTGACTCTCCTACCCATGCAATTTAAGCAGATAAGAAATCCCATGGAAATCATTAATATGGTAATTTCTAGCCAACCTGGAGCTTACCTTAATGTGGATGAACTCATTGAAATCGCCAAACTTCTAGGACTAACCTCTCAAGAAGATATAGCATCTGTAGAAGAAGCAATCGCTAGAGAAGCTGCTGTAGCAGGCGATCTACAATTGGCTTTTGATCTTTGTCTAGTGTTGGCTAGAAAGGGCCATGGGCCAATATGGGACTTATGTGCTGCAATTGCCAGGGGTCCCCATCTTGACAATATGGATTCAAGTTCCCGAAAGCAGCTTTTGAGTTTCGCTTTGAGCCATTGTGATGAGGAATCTATTGGGGAATTGCTTCATGCATGGAAGGATTTTGATATCCATATGCAATGTGAGAATCTTATGGTTTCAACTCGAACAAGTCCTCCGAATTTTTCTGTAAAGGGATCCTCGATAATGCCACTCTCTGCACAGAGTGTCCAAGATATATTTGATCTAAGAGATAATTCTAGACATGTGGAGCATGTCACCGATTTTCATGGGAGTGTGAGTGATGATGATCACTTCAATAACATCAAGGACATACTTTTCAAGGTTGGCAAGGAGTTGTCATTTGATGAAGACGGGATTAATTGGGATTCTCTCTTAAGAGAAAACAGAAAAGTTTTATCATTTGCTGCACTGGAGCTTCCTTGGCTCATGGAGTTGAGTAGGAAAGAAGAATATGGTAAGAAGGCGGTTCAGGGTTCAGAAATTCTTCCTGGAGGACATTATATCTCCATACGAACTCAAGCATTGATCAGTATTCTTTATTGGTTGGCTGATAATGATATTGCTCCAAGTGATGATCTCATGGCCTCTATTGCAAAGTCTATTATGGAACCCCCTGTAAGCACAGAGGAGGATGTTCTAGGATGCTCATTTCTACTGAATCTTGTTGATGCTTTTCAGGGCGTCGAAATAATTGAACAACAATTGAAAGATAGGAAAGGATATCAGGAGATGTTCAGCATCATGAATGTAGGGATGGTGTATAGCTCACTGCAAAATTCACACAAAGAATGCGCAACCCCTGATGAGAGACGGAATCTCTTGATTCACAAATTTCAAGAGAAGCACACATCATTTATTTTTGGTAAAATCATATGCTTCTACATATTTTTCTAATCTTAGATTCTCGATGTTATTTATATCTCTTTACATTTATAAAATGCTAATCAGTTGTGAATCTGAGGACAGTAATGATGTCACTTTACACTTACAGTTTATAGGTTGCTCTAACTTGTGAGTATTTTGATATGCAATATACTCTAGAAGTGGTTTTCAGTGATTAGCACACTGGACAAGAAAAAACTCGACTAAGACATGGCTATTAGGAGGGCTTTCAACTGAAAATTATGTCCTGGTTATCATGTGTACTTCTTTTTGAAAAATCAGTAATGAACGTACATGCAAATTTTAGGCAGAGGCTTTCTCTAAAGTGTTTGTTTGCTTTGATGCTTTTCATCAAATGAACTTGAACACACTGAGAAAGCACTTAGCAATCATAACTTGATGAAGACATGTCTATTAGAAGATCTTTCAACTGGCAAATTATTTCCTGTTTCTCATATGTACTTTTTTAAAAAATAGTTGCTCCCAATTTATTAGCACAGTGAGAAAGCAAAACCTTAGCGAAGACATGCCTATTACAAGGGCTTTCAACTGGAAAATTAAGCCCCGGTTCTCGTATGTACTCTTTTAAAAAAAATAAGTTCCAGTTTATTAGCGTGCTGAGCAAGCAGGAAGTTGACGAAGGCATGTTTATTAGAAGAGCTGTCAACTGGAAAATTAATTCCTTGTTCATATATGTACTTCTAAAAAAAATTCAGTAAACATTTTCTGATTATAAATGAATATTCTTCGTCCTGTGAGCTTTCATGCATTTAAGGTGGAGGCTTTTATTGCTCTAAAGTGTTTGCTTGTTTGATGCTTTTAATCAGATGAACTTGAACACATTGAGAAAGCACAATCAACATTCTGGAGAGAGTGGAAAGCAAAATTGGAAGAGCAGAAACATTTAGCTGATCAAGCAAGAAATCTGGAGCAAATAATTCCTGGGATAGAAACTGCCCGCTTTTTATCTGGTGATGCTGAGTACATCAAGGCTGTTGTTTTTTCCTTCATTGATTCGGTAAAGACAGAGAAAAATCACATTCTCAAGGAAGCAGTTAAACTTGCTGATACCTACGGCTTGAATCGCAATGACTCACACATGCTAAGTCCAGACTCTAAATGTTTGCATTCAATTTGTAGGTTCTACTACGGTTTTTTGGCTCCGTTCTTGTTTCTGACCAGTGGAGGAATGATGATATTCTAGCAGAAATCTCAGAGTTCAGAGAAACCATAGTGAAGTGTGCTAAGGAGGTCATTATCATGATTTCATCAGTTGTCTATCCTGAAATTGATGGTCACAACAAGCAGCGACTTTCATACATTTATGGCATCCTTTCGGCCTGCTATTTGCACTTGAGGAAAACTGAAGAGCCAGCATTAATGGAACTGACCCACCAGTATCTACACCATAAGAAGCATAATTTGGAGCCATTTCAGTTTTACAAGGTTATTGAACAAGAATGTCAAAGGGTGTCTTTCATCAGTGAATTGGACTTTAAAAACATTGCTGGACTAGATGATTTGAACTTTGGGCATATCAATGAAGAAGTATCCATTAACATCCGTGATTCTACTATAGAAGCTCTGGCGGATATGGTACGGGCCCTTGGCAGCATCTACAGTGATTCTGAAGCAATTGTCCACATCATGTCATGGCAGGATGTTTATAAGCATCACATTCAAAGTTGCTTAGCTCACCTGGAGAGTGAAAGTAGTGTGGATCCAGATGAGTTGCCAGAACTAGTAGGAAAAATTGAAGCTAACTATGATGTTTGCAATAAATATATCAAATCACTTGAAGAAGATGACCAGTCCTACATTATTGAGAGATATTGCAAACTCTGTCTTCCGTCTGGCAGTCCGTCATTTAAAAATTCAAATGAATCTGCAAAGAGAGGTTGTCTTATTGTGCTCATGAGCTTTTGGATCAAAATGGCTGATGATGAAGGCTTTGATAGAAAGCACCTAGCAAGATGTCTCAAGGTACTGAAAAAGTTAGTGACAGAAAATGAAATATCAACAGACTGTGGGTGGAGCATGATTACTGGCTATGTTAAACTGGGTCTCAAGGGTGGTCTGACTGCAGACATCTCAAGTTTCTTTCAAGCCATGATTTTCTCGGGCTGTGGGTTCAATTTTGTTGCTAAAGTATACTCTGAAGCTGAATTATACGCAACAAGCTTAACTTTGGATGGAAAGCTTAAGAATCTTGTAGATCTTTATGTATATTTGATGGAGAAATCTTTACTAGACCTGAGCAGAGGCTGTGAAGAGCACAAGGACCTGCATTATCTGCTAGCGTCTCTGAGCAGGCTAGAAGATGGTGACTATGCAGAAGATCTTAATCTGATCAGATGCCGAGTTTGGGGCAAGTTGACTGCCTTTTCTGATGACATGCAATTGGGAAGCCATTTGCGCGTCTATGCTTTGGAACTAATGCAAGCCATCACTGGACAGAACCTGACAAATCTTCCCACCGAAATTGCTTCAGTGGTCCAGACATGGGAAGGATGGGAACAAGCATGCTTCACACCCAGAGATCTGACCACAACGGAAAGAGCTGACGGTTCTGGCAGTAGTATCACAAGCACTTTAGTGGCATTGAAATCAACTAGGTTGGTTGCCATGATCTCCCCAGACATCAAGATTACTCCTGAGGATCTAGTCACCCTTGACTCAGCAGTCTCTTGTTTCTTACATTTATCTGAAATGGCTACTTCACTGCCTGATCTCAATATCTTGCAGTCTGTTTTAGAGGAATGGGAAGCATTGTATAGTTCAAACAGGACACAGGTAAACAAGGAGAAGTTCACAAGTGTTGAATCATCGACTGAAGAATTTGACGACTGGAGCGGTGATGAGTGGGACAATGAGGGTTGGGAGAACCTTCCAGAGGAAGAGCTTGGGAAAACTGAAGAAATTAAGGATGATACCTATTCTACTCGAGTCCTCCACTGTTGCTGGATGGAGATCATCAGAAAGCTCGTTGGGCTTTCAGAGTTCAAACTGGTAATTGAAATTCTGGACAGATCATTTTCAAAGTCTGACGGAGTTGATGTATTGCTGGACGAAGATGAAGCCCAGTGCTTGTATAAACTCGTAGTTCAAGTTGATTGTTTCATGGCATTGAAGATGTTACTATTACTTCCTTATAGAGGGCCTTGGTTACAATGCTTACACGTGGTTGAGGCTACCCTTAATGATGGGGGACGAAGTCCCAAGAATGCATCCGTTCGTGTAGACCATGGTTATGAACTTCTGATTCTTGTGTTGTCATCTGGAGTCCTGGGAAACATTGCTACAGATCCAACTCTTTCTAAGGTGTTCTCTTATCTATGCCATTCGGTGGGATATCTTACTCACCATTGTCAGGAATATTTGCATAGTAATAAAGACAGTTTGGATCAAAAAAATGTGCAACATTTTTGCAAGATACTGTTGCCATGTTTCGTATCCCAGCTTGTGGACTTAGGGCAGTGTTTATTAGCTGGGTTTATAGTATCTCAATGGACACACACCCACTGTTCTCTTGGTCTTATTGATGTTGTAGATGCCGTTCTTCGAAAGTATTTGGAAGGGCAATTCCTCATAACTGTAGGTGGTGAGTCTGCTGGTCTTGGAGAACTGGAGTTATCTGGGTCCTTGGTCTATACGTTATCAAGATTGAGAAGGAAGTTAGGGAGCATGCTGCAGTCTGCGGTCTCAGCTCTTCCATCAGATATCCAAAGACATGACTTTGTTTAATTTCATGGGGGGGTTGAACAGATATGTTATGCAAAAGAGTTCTAACTGGTTATTATCTTTGTTGCGCTTGTCTTCCTTTTTGATGAAATTTGCAGTCATCTCCTATACTAATGCATTATTAAACAGTTTGCTTATGTAATTTTTAATTGTTTTTTCTGCAAATATCTTTTGATATTTGACAATCTTAGACACATGTCCTAACTGGTTGTTCGTAAACCTTATTATAATAGCGTAAACTGTAAAGGCATTGCTGTTGTTTACATGATAATCCGATCGATACTGCAGATGACATTCTTCTCACCTTTTTTATTACTTTAGTCCTCTGTCCTGATTTATCTTCTGTTTATCTGCATCTTATAGGAGCGGAATGTGTACACCACTTATTTAGAATCATGTACGAGAGGGGTAGACTTTTAGAATCATGTACGAGAGGGGTAGACTTTTATGACACACTAGAGAACATGATACACTTTAGATTTGGTTTTTAAACGTAGGAATCTTTAGATCAGGGAACTTGCAGCTACATTCTGAGCTCAATTTAAGAGTGATTATTCCTTCTCATACCACGAAGCTGTTTATATGAGATTTCAGATAATACAAACTCTCCTTAACTGTTCTCCTAAAAATATCACCTTAAATAATTGCTTGTGCGTCTGTGCATGCTTCACACCCATTTTCTTGTGTGAGATTGTGAGGTCCAATTTCCCTAATATTTTGTTCTGTAGATTAACCTAAAGTTTAAATAGGGCATCCTTGTCATTAACTTATTTCATTTTGTTTCTTTCCTCCAATCCTCTACCCTATCTCTTCTCATTCTTTACAACATAAAATACAAAAATTCACATTTCTCCAAATTTTCTTCCTTTTGTTTCCTGGATATCCATTGTACCTTGACCTTTAAAATGTTTTACTTGATAGGGTTCATCTACCTTTCTGAGCATTAATTTGGGAGAAAATTGAATTCTAAAGTGCTGCTTTTACTCTTGAGATTTGATTTTGTTGAAAATTTTCTTTGCTTCATCTTCAATTAGATTCTGCTCCTTCTGAGTGTAGTGAATCAGGATCTGACCCCATGACGAGCTCCAGAGATGCTGAGCAACAAAGCCCTGTCTGTCCATGAGCATCCATCAAATGAAGGCCTGTCAAACCCACACTATTTCGGGAGGGCCAGTGCGGGTCTCCAAGGTAAATCAAAGCAATGTGCTATCTCCATTTCTCTTGTAGTAAATACTCCTTTTCCTGCAAATATCTAAAACCCCGCAAAACTACTCTATTTTCTTGTAGAACATCGAATGCAACTGCATCTTCTCAAGTTGGAATCAGATAAATACAGCAGAGAATGTAAAACTCCTGCTTTGGGTGAGCATTGCGTTGGAGAGATGCTATTGATGTACGAAAACGAAGAAGACACAGCCTGTTCATACGTAGTTAATATTATCAACTTGTGCATCTATGGTGCAGATAAAGATATTCTTTTGAGTAATTCTTGCTCTACAAAGTATCCAGTGGACCTCAATGTGTTTGAAAAGCTTGAAGGGAAATATGGGCTGCTTCTGGAATGGTCTAGATTAGAGAGAAGGTTACTGTATGATCTCATCAGCTCCGGTCTAACCGAGATCCTCTCTTCAAAGAGAGAGCTTGAGCTGGCAGGTGATAGGCCTCATTGAAGAGGTGTGGCAAATGTTGGTCAGAAAACGAAAAGTATTTAAGTCGAACAAAACCAGAATGTGGTACACGCTTGGTTACAGAGATTCTTTGGACTTGTGGCGCATTTGACAGAGAGAATTTCAAGATTTGTGAAGCATGGAATGCGCTTAGCCCGGACTGACCATTTGTTTCTTCATGAGGTTAGTATTAAGGCTTTTGGTACCCTAAGATGTGAGATGAGACATGCGATGAGGATCTTAGTCACATACTCAAAATTGACCGTGATGGTCTAATAAGTTGTACCTAATGCTGTTCTGTTTACCATCAAACGAGTCATAAAATTGTTAGTCGAACTGAACTTTTTTTTTTCTCTCTCTCTCTCTGTAGCTGTTGCAAACATTACCTCAAAAAGATTAGATATAATCATAAAAAGAAAAAGAGTTTTCCTATTTCTTGTACGATACTGAGATCGCAAGTTTTTTTAATGTTACACTCTTATATTTATGCTTCGGCCGGGTCAATAGTGGCCCTTTGGGATTCCGAATCTCATGGCGTCGTTTGGTTGTGATATTTGGAGCTTTTTGACAATTGTCTATTTGTTTGGCCGAGTCCTCATTGATTAGAAAATTTAATCTACCAAATTGTTGTAATAGCCAATTCTCTCCTTCTACATACACAGTAATCTTTTAAAAAAATTCTAATTTGAGATATCTTTTTAAAGATCAATCAAAACTGATATAAGAAATTAGAGCATTAAACTAATCTAGCTGGCGCCTTTCGTTTTCTCGTGGTCAATTTCGCAGTATTTTCACTTTAACAACTCTCGCTTAACATGTTGCTCGTCTATATTTTTCATATAGCCAAACTTGGAGTCACTTTGCAATGAAACTTTCTATTATTTTTAAGTCTAAATACCGTTCACAGCAAACAATTGAAATCGAATCTCCAACTGCAGAAAAATTGAATCGGTAGTAGCTCCATTTCAATCCAACCTATTAAAACGAAATCATTATCATATCTTAATCATCACATGCTTGTCACGAAACCCTTTTAAGATGGTAGTTAGCCTTAAATCATACACTTAAACAAATCAGTACGGGATTCGTATGAGCCTCAGATTAAGACACCTTTATTACATTAGAAGAATGACTTATTTTAGTAGCGCGTTATTAATATATAAAAAGATAATTTTTTTATTTTTACACACACTTACAAATCGACTGTTCACCATATTTTCGTGGTTCCGTCATCACTTTTCAGGTCTGTACTACATAATTGAGGGGTTGGATAACTATTGGCCACTGTTAAATATCAATTTTAATTTCAAAATTAAATAACATGACTTTTTTTAATATTATTTTCCTTTGAAAAACACAGAAAATATTAGTCCGGATGTCTATCCTCGGGCCGTTAATGCTTGGCTTTAGGATACAAAGTCTGGATCTAGTTCTTACTCGATTTGCGTTTAGATGTCTCCATAATCTTTGTCTTCAAAAAAATTTCTATATTTTGAAAAAGCAAATATGCTAATTAATTAATATGGAACGTCTCAATTAATATCGTTTCGAATTAAGACTAATGGCGTATATTGGCATTTAGAACTTAGAAGTATTTGTACCCCACAATAAAAGGAATACAGTAGCTTGGAAACTAGCTGTTAAAATCCCAAATGGGGCGAAAAGCTTTCACTTAATTAATATGTTTATAGCCTTGCGAATTACAGTTCATTCTCAAGCTCTAAAAATTTAAAAATTAAAAAGAAAGGATGAAAGAAAGAAAAGAAAAGAGTGCTGCTACTGGGACCCAAAATATGAGACCAAGGGAGGGGACAAGTGAGGTGTCCCCTCCCTATTGCATAATGAGTTAGTATGAGTTGGCATGACTCCTCCCTTGGTCCCATATTTTGGGTCCTTAAATCATTATATTCTTTGCATTTATCATCCTCATTCTGGCACTTTGACTCCTTTTACTTTCTTAACTGTTTCAACACAAGTTTTGGTGTGAATTAAAAGCGAATTGATGAACATTTAAGTTTTGGAACCCCTTAACTAATTAGGTCTCAAAGAAGAAGATACATCCCATCCGAGGGTCTATCCATAAATTTTCCACTAAGAAAGAAACAGTCTAAATTATACTCCAAACCCCTCGAGCCAAGCAAATAAATTTAAAAACAAAGCATGAAAAAATAAAAATTAAAAATTAAAAATAAAACTGGCTAAACGCAAGGAGAAGCCATCGAGAGAGCCAAGAAAATCCTTGGTTAGCGTTTATTCCTTCCATATCCCCGAGGTTTGTCTTTCCCATTATTCTATTTGTTTGCTAGCTCAAGGCCTGCAAATTTCAATCTATTAGAATAATAATCACATAATTAATTACATTACAAAAATTGTATATCTTTTGTTTGATAACATAGAGTTTAGACAAATGGAGAGAATTGATGCATTTGTTTATAATTGTGTGCTCACATATTTCTTCCATATAAAGGAAGAAACAAGATGGAAGGATCATACCAAAGAGGAGGAAGTCAGTTCCGGAGAGCCAACATTGTTTACTTCCTTAGCCGTAACGGAACGGTCGAGCCTCCCCATCTTATTAGAGTCCGTCATTTCCACGATAACGGAGTTCATCTTCGCGGTAATTAATTTATTATATAAATTTTGTTATACGTAAGTATATATTATTTGTTCTTGTCTAATTTTTTGTAAATGTTTAGATGTGAAGAGATGGCTTGCGGAATTGAGAGGGAAGGACATGCCTGATTCTTTCTCTTGGTCTTACAAAAGGTTATTTATAAAATAAATTTGTTTTCCCCCCCCAAATATTTCATTAGCTCGGTTTGGAAATTTTTTGTAATTTTCTTTTTCTTTATTATTGGAAATTAGGAAATACAAGAGTCTATACGTGTGGCAAGATTTGAAAGATGGTGATCTGATTACTCCCATAGCTGATAATGAATACGTTCTAAAGGGCTCACTCCTCCATTTTCATTCTATTGGTATTTTTTTGTTATCTTTATTTTCCATTATAGACACTACTAATATTTATCAGTCTTTAACGATTAATTGTTTTCCTATTGTTTTGTGTAGACGGGTTTCCTCACGACGATATCGAAAACATCGTGACTGCGTCGAAAAGGACCATAGAAAAAGCAGTGACGGAACATCAGCTGGCATCAGAACTAGAGCTAGAGCCTGAAGCTATACAGATCGAACAAGCCGACGAGGTGTCACCGAAACCGCCACCTGAGATGGAATGCGGATCTCTGATGAAGTTGAACATCGACCGTAGGATGACTGCGTTCGACATGAAGGCTTCGGCCAAGAAACAAGAAGGGGAGCGGCAGAATCAGACGTTCAAGAGGAGCTACTCCAGCCGCGCATCTCACGTGTTCCGCAACATCCTCACGTGCGGTTCGGCCGACGCGAGGGACTCGGTCCTTGTACCGACCAGCCGGTCCGGTGACCATGGGACCCACAAGAGGAGATCCACCGGTGGCGATGTGCCACGTCAGCAGACACACCAGCGGAAGAGCTCTGACGAAGACAGTTCGAGGTGATTTATTTTGGTATTTATACATAAGATAGAATTGGATGAAATTGTTCGAATTTTGTAGAGACTTAGTATCTGTGTGTACATTTTTGGCGATCAGGAAGAGCCAGAGGAGTAGTGGCAGGAGGATTGGGGGATCGGCGAGTTACAAGACTTTAGGGGCACCCAATTGTTCGTAAGTTTTTAAGCTAACATAAATAAATAAAACATTTCCTCTTCTTTTTCTTTTTTCTTTTTTCCCCCTTGATAATGGCTATAGTTATTTGCAACCACCTCCTTATGAATACATATAGAGAAAACTAAAAGATTTGAATCACAATAATGCAAAGCAGTCATTATCTTAATTAATGTTTCAGGTACAATATTTGTTGCATGTAATAAAAACCCATAGAGCAATTACGTACATAGTATATTATAAGGGCGATTGCAAGAGCAAAAGGTTGACAATCTATCTTTTGATACAGTCGAAACAACAAATTACATATAATTTGTATCCCTGGAGAATTTTTCTATACTCCCATGTTTTATCATATATAAGAAACTGCACCTAATCTCGATTTCTTGTAAATAGTTTGCATTATCCTCATTACGATATTGCATTTACTCAAAATTCCGGTACAATGCTGTATACTCCGGCTCAATCTAGTCCTATAAGCCAATATCACGTGCTGGTTTTTTTTTTCACTAGTATCTGAAAAAAGTTTCTCATGTTCATAAAATGTTTAGGCAATGTGGGAGATCTTTTGATCCAGAGAAGTTTCACTCACACATGCAATCATGTAAAGCTCTGAGAGGCCGAGGGAAGGGGAGGGCGAGCTCCGACAGGAGGCCGCTCAGACGAGAGTCTCGATGTCAGAGCGAGGATTTTTCGAGGGACTCATTATCAGGCTACCTGACGTAAAGATTGATGTCATTCTTGTTGAGCAATGTGTTATTGTTTCAAATGTTTGTAACTAGAAAGCGTTTCAACTTGTTCATTTTGTTTCTTCTCTGTAGTTATTTGTTAGTACTTAGTTCATGTCATTCTATAGTTTCTATTGCAAGCAAAAAGTGAAAACATGAAAATGATGACATGCTACAACTTACTGGTTGTTGATTCTTGGAAAGATTGTAAAAAAAACTGCAAGTTATAAAAGTTAATTGTAGCTGTAGTTATAATTTTTGTGGCCACATTACAGTCTTTATTTATTTTTTCCAGAATGATTTATGGACGATTTTTTCCTTTTTTTTTATGAGGGAATACACCTTTGGCACACATAATAACACCACAAACAATAGCACACAAAATAACACCACAACTACTGTGCCTTTGGTGCTTTGGGAACTACTGTGCCTTTGGTGCTTTGGTGCATATGGGAACTACCGTGCCTTCAGCGCACATGGGAATCGAACTCAACCCCTTTTTCTTCAATACCAAAGAGAGTTGCTATACAATTCTAGCTGTGTTTTCATAAATTGGAACTGATATGGCCAAGGTGAAAGATCTAAGTTAAGTCAAGTCGCATCTCAAACCAACTAAGATGAAAACTGAATGCCCGTCGGAGCTCGCCCTCCCCTTCCCTTGGCCTCTCAGAGCTTTACATGATTGCATGTGTGAGTGAAACTTCTCTGGATCAAAAGATCTCCAATACAAACTCAGAATTGCATCTCCAATATTTTCAAACAGAATAGACAAGCAACATAAACATCCAAGAAATATAAGCGCAAAGATAGCGCTTGACCAGATGTTTCGCAAAACCAAGAACTTTCCAAAATCCATCAACACATGATATTGATAACAACCAACGAAAGAAGTACTCATTCCTCTTACATATCTGATACAATCCCTCTCTATGATTATCACAATATTCTTAACTACCTGCAGATAAAAGGTTCTAGTGACAAGCCCAACAAACGCACTTATAGTAGACAAGGACTACTGAATAGCTTGTACCGCATAAGACCAGCAACAATATCAACGCAGCCTTCTAGCTTCTCTTTCAGACTCGAGAAGTGTAAGCACATCACCTTCCCTAACTGGGCCTTTCACATTCCTCATAATGAGACGGTTCTGGTCGTCAAGAAACTTGACACGGACTTGGGTCACCTGACCCCTCGATCCAGTTCGGCCCATCACCTTCACGACAACTGCAAGCTTTGCTTGTGCGTCCATACTGCGAAATTAGGAAGAGTAAATATATTCAATCAAGAAACTAGTTAATCTTGAGTGACCAAAAAGGATGTACAGTCTAGTTGTGTGTGTAGTTAACTTTGCAATAAACCAATGATCACTATGATTTTCAAGTACAATGTCTGTTTGCATAGTTAGAGCAGAATCGGGGATAAAAATGAAAATAAGTAAATATAGTTTGAAGAGTAATAGCTTCTCAAAAAAAGACCAGCAGTACACTAACAGAGGTATTTATATTATGAACATAGACTAAAACACTTAGTCTGCCCGGCCTGTAAAAAAAAACTACATCTACATCCTTTTTGTGCGCAACTTTGTTTTTAAGGACGATAAGATCAGTTTGCCAGGTTGCTATTAAGGATAGCGAGTTAGGTGCATACACCCATTTGGACATATATTCATACACTTGTATGCATTATAACTCAGCACAGAGGAAGGAGATGAGGCGTAAGTTGTTCTCTTGTTACAGTTTTATCTTTTTGATTCGCGTCAAATAAAATAATCCAAAGCATACAGATCCCTTCTACACTCTTGATTCTTTTCTAATCTAATATGTTGACTCAACACTGTCACGCTTTCATTGCAAGAACTGCAACAACATATCAACACAGAACATCTCACAGTCTGTGAACATCGTCACCGAATCCATGGATTTACTAATGCCCTGTTTGGATGGAGGGTAGAGAGGGGGAGGGGAAGAGAAATGAGGCGTTCACCTTGTTTGGGAGTTTTTTTAAGGACGGTAGAGAGGAGGAAGGAAGGGGAAAGGAGGGTAAAATTGCTTGGTTTTCTTTCCCCCCGATTTGGGCGGTAGAGGAGGGTAAAGGAGGGTAAAAGGGTGTAATGACATTCTTACCCCCATCAAAACAAATAAAAAGGCTGATGTGTTATTAGTATAAAGTCATTTATGTAAATTTACATATATTTACTTCCTTTCACCTTCATTCACCTTAATCAACTCCCAAACAACATATTACAATTCTCTTCCCTTCCCTTCCCTTCCCTTCCCGTTGTTTACCTTTCCTTCCCAAACACACTCAGGCAGTCGTAAATGATTAGTAACAAAATATGGTAATAAACTTGGATATAATCGTCCCCAAACTACAAATTTTACCAGGTATCTTATTCTGACTACGATTTATAATAGGCAATCCCCCAGAAGTTGAACATTTTTTGGGGGAAAACCGCAACTTATTTCGGATTGTCATCATGCAAGTAACAAATTGCGGTTTCCAAACAAAACCCATCACCTTAGATGGTCATCACGAGCTCCTAATGGCTAATTAATCAGCAAATGAGACTATATACGGAGTTTTAAACAAACATCTCCAAAGAACTCAAATCACGAAATAAATACTCTGCATAATAGCAAATAAAATTAAACACTAGAGATTTGTGCTTTACCTCTTCCGGTTCCTTGGTAATTGTTGGCGGCGAGCGGACCCAGGAGCGTGAAGGAAACCCTAGTTAAGATTGAGCGTTTAAATAGTCTGATACCTCAAATAAAAACCCTTACCTTTCATAAATTTCACAATCGTGCCACTTCTCGAAAAGCGCGAACCCGCCACAGCCTACAGGTTTGGCTAGGTGTTTGTTTCACCAATTTTTTTTGTATTTAGGGGCTGTTTGGTTGCACACTTTTTGAGAAAACTTTTATCAAAACATCTGACAATGACAAATTTATAATTCAAAGTTTTCCAGAGATTTCTGTAAATTGTGTTTGGTTCAACAAAAAATTTACAGAAATATTTTCTATAAAATATCAAAACCTACCAAATTTTACAAAAAGCAATTTCCTCTCAAAATAAGAGGAAATCACCAGAAATCTGACACATACCATATTTAATTAAAAACCTACCAAATCTTGTTATTTTCTATAAAGTTATGAGCTATTTTCTTGTTTTGAACCAAACAAGCAAAGTATAAAAAACAAGAAAATTGGTACTTTTTGATTTCTCAAAACTTTTCCTATAATTTTTTTAAGAAATACAAGGAAATCATATTTTAGGTGGAAAACATTTCATATAATTTCTAGAAATTGAACCAAACATATGAATTACAAGTATTGGGATCAAAAAGTGAAATTTTTTTGTATTTTGGGATTTTATATATGGTGTTTATTTTAAAATTATTTTTAGAATATTGATTTCCAAAAGTGTAAAAAGTATCCAATTTTTAGAATTTGTCAAATCCTCTCAATTGGAGAGGATTTTGACAAATCTCATAAATGGGTGTGTTTACCTCTCAATTAGAGAGGAAATCTCAATTTTGTCTTTTTACGGAAGGTAAACTCACCAAGATAGCATATTCATCATATTATAAATTTTTTTGGCATTTGGTAATGCTACAATTTGAGCTTGAAACAAATAAAATATTACAAATTGTAGTATTCCAAATCCCAAAATATTAATAAAACTAACAACATTTTAGAAATCCCAACGCATAACAAAATACTTATGGATTTTAAATCCCATGGTGAAATTCATATCCTAAATTTATAGGATTTGAAACAAACACCCCATTAGTTTATAATACACAAATGGCTCATAATAATACACAAATGGCTCATAAATCAAGTAAATGTATAATTTAAAGTATTTGGTAAATTTAGCGGTTATCATTGTTTTATAACTTAGCGTGTTTGGTAAATTAGTGGTTTATAATCCATCATTATTGTTAAAATAGAAAAAGGGGTTGGAGGTAGAAGAAGAAACCTTTTTAATTTTCTTAAATATTAAGATGTAAAATGGTTTTTTATTCAGCCAAACTATGTGGCTTATAAGCTGCCCAGAAATAAGCTGGGTTAATTTACCTTTTTTTGGCTTATAATCCAAAGCAACATGTTTGTCAAATATGTCTTAGTGGCTGATAAGCTATAAAGTTTACAAGTCACTTTGACCAGTTACTAAACATGCTCTAAATGCCCTATAGTTTCCTCTATTTTGCATTATATACTTATTTTTTGCAGAACTTATATACTGTTAAGTTTTTAAAATTTGTACATAGAAACTTGAAGGCTGCGTTTGGCAAGATGATAAATGGGGGTTAAGTGGGTTTAACCCTCCATTAGCCTGCCAAACAGAAAAAAAGAGAAGGGTTAACAAACCCACACGTGAGCCGGTTAGCCCATTTAACCCGTCATAAGAAGGGATAACAATTCCTCGTAAGAAGGCAGAACACAGCTTGTTCCGCCTTTTTGCGCAAGGGTAGGTGGTGGAATTTTTTCATCTCAATACTTCTTTCCTCCTCAAATCCCCAGAAATGGCCACCCCTTCGATTTTCCTCTCTCTCTACTGAAACCCTAAGTCCTCAACCTCTGATTTTCCTCGACCTAACGAGATCCCGTTTCATGCCAAGGTCACCAATTATGTGCACCTTGTGGGGTCTCTTGTCGTGCCAGTCTAGCTCCAGACCTTGCCCAGTGGTGCCTTCACCGTCTCGGTTCTCATTCAGGAGAGAACGAAGAAGGGTTCACCTCAGTTATGGTAAAAAAATCTATCCAATTTAATCTCAATTGCTTCTATTATCGTCGATTGGTACATATGTTATTCATAATAATTGGTTGCTAATTGTTGTGAGTAATTGAGGAAAATATTACTTGAAATTGGGAAGTAATTTAGTTAGTCATTATAATCACGTGCTTGTTATTGGGAATTTTGTGAATCATATTAAAAAAAAATCTAATTTTGCAATAGCACAAGTTAATATTGAATTAGTTGGCTCGTAGCTATGAGATTTACTAGTATTGAGTCCAAAATGTTGGGGTTACATTGTGGAAAATATTACTAGAAGGGCACACAACTATCAATAACTTTCCATTCAATCCCACTTAAATGGTTATGGAGGCTTCACCTATAAATGTGGAAGTAAATTTCTTTCTTTGTTGATTTGATTTCTTTTCTGTGTGAGAGGAAAAGAATTGTATTTGTGTTATCTATATTTCCCCCTACAACTAAATTATTTTTAGATCACTTTGTTTCCTCCATTGGCTGAGTATGTCCCCCTACAGCAAGTTGGCCATTTTTTTTCAAACATCTCTTTTGCAACAGTTTCTTACTTCAATGAATTTTAGGTGATTTTTAATTCTTTTGCAACTTCCGTGAGATGAAACTTTTGTCTAGATGATGTTAGCTAGGTTGTGGCCGTGGTTATACATGCTTAGTACAAACTTTTTTAGCTCATGTCAATATTTTATTTCAGTCCTAAATATGGATTTATTTGCAGCTTGTAAAAATAATGGGGTTCTTATATACATGGGGAATGTCTAATTTTTTTTGTTTTTGACGAGGTAATTATTTATAAATCTTCAATAGGGGCGAAAGTGGTATTTTTTAAAAAAATAATGAGATTAATCTCCTTAACCCATCTTCATTTGCCAAACACAAAAGGCTTAACCCCTTGTCTTAACTATCATATCCAAACGGTTTTAGAATTTTTTAACCCTTCACGATGGATTAACTAAGTTAACCATTCTCTTTAATCCCTCCTTCTTAACCCTTTGCCAAACGAGGCCTAATGTTTTTAAATTTTGCACTTAATTATCCTTAGTTATTCAAACTTGAGAGTATCAAGTGTAAATTTGATTAGAATATTTACTTGTAGGTTTTAAAAAATTTAAAGTGTTTAAATGCAAGTTTTAAAAACTTTAAAATACATAAATGCTTTAATACATATAAATGCTGTTATAAACAAGGGAGAGGATATGAGTGAAAATTTTAAAAGTTTTTTTTATGATATATAAGCAATGTTTTAAATATCGGTTATTGAGGATTTATTGGACAGTCAAAATTCATATCAGATGGCGGATATCGAGGATATATTGGGGATAAGTAGTATTTATCGGAGTGATATTACCGAATGGTGATATACATAATATAATATTCTAAAATAACATATCAAGATGTAAATAATTATGCTTAGGATCACTAACCAATGGTAGAAACTCGGGTCGGGTCGGGTTTAAAGTGAATTGAGTAGATGTTCGTTGCCCAAAATTAAAACTCAAACCAAAGACGATAATTCCGATTTTTGGGCTGACAATATCGGCCGACAACTCACTTTTTCACTGCATTATAAGCGATAAACATCCAAAAACGATAATCAATTTAGAATTGAACTTATTATATCAGAAGGCCCCCAAAACCGATAAATCTCAAAAAAAACCAAAAGCGATAAACAAGTGAGGGTATAGAAGTGCAACATAGTTGAACCATATGGTATTTAAGTGCAATTATAAACCCAAAAAACCATTTAATAATTATTTTTCAAACAAAAAATAAAAACAACCTCATCCCTCTCTCTCTTCTCCAGACTCACACGATGCGATCTCTACTCTCTCTCCCCTCGTCCTCAACTTTTCCTCTCAATTTCAAGCACCACAATCTCGCACCCAAACTCTCACTCAAGCCCCACCTCCCTCCTCCTCTCCCCAAGCCCCCCTCCTTCAAGGTCCAGTCAACAACCTCCCCTTCCCCCTCAGTCTCCATCTCAGATCCACAGCAACCAGAGACCGAGCCGAATATCACCGACGGAAAATTCGACTGGTTCTCGAAATGGTACCCGCTGTCCCCGGTCGTCGACCTCGACAAGCGGGCCCCACACGCGAAGCGGGTGCTGGGCCTCGACGTCGTGATTTGGTGGGACCGGGCCCTGGACAGGCTCTGTCCGAGGGAAGGATTGATCAAAGGGGCCGTCTTCAATGTGTATATCATGGGTGGTGCTTTGATGGGGAGGGGAGCTGCAAGTACATTCCTCAGGCTCCGCCCGAGGGCCCGCCGGTAAATTCCTGTTAAATTTGGGTTAATCCACAACTTTCCACTTGAGACCTCAGTCAATATGAAACCCATGGAGCGTAACGAATATTTCTTTCCGGATTTGGTGTGCGCAGGTTCACACATTTCCTAAGGCGTGCGCAGCTGTTTACCCGAGCTACGAGCAGAATAAGGTCTTGTGGTTTTGGCCGAATACTACTCCGGAGTATAAAGACATTGCGGAGAAGGAGAAGCCTCCTTATGTGCCCGAGTTGGATGATCCTTCATATGCGTGTGCTATGGGGACGAGGGACCTTCATTATGGGTGTGCCCTTGCTTAGAAATTCACTTAGCTAGTATTAAGCCCGCGCGCGTTGGTGCGGGTATTATTTGCCAAGTTATATCTGTCACCAAATTGATAATATTGTTTTTATATGTAACTATTTATAAAAAAACATCAGCGACAATTTTTTTTACTACGATCTACAGAGTGAATTTCCAAACTAGTAAGCAAAATAATACACCAATTAGTAAGTTTTTATCAATTTTCTGTAATAGACATAGAAAATATTTATATTTATAAAATGTCTAATAAAGGTTAAATTTATCATTTACAAGAACAAAAAAAAAAGTTATGAAATGTTTTTTAGCTTGAACCGTGGATAAATGGCCAAAAGTTTTACTGTAGCATGCAGAGCACGTTCAAACATAAATTACACTGTAGCGTGAACAGTGTTTAAAGGAAAAAATAATTTGCATAAATCATTCTGTTTACTGTAGCATGAATAATGAATAGTAGTTTTAAAGTTTTGCTTTTGAGTTAGAAGTAGTAGACGAAGGATGGTCAATTTAGAGCTTGTGGTAATTTATGATTTTTTTTTATATTACACGATGTTTTCTTAGGTATTTAAAATGGGATCATCTCATGCATGATTAGAAAACAGCTTAATCTTTTGGTTGTTGTCTTTGTTCATACGGTTCCATTGATTTTTTTAGAGCATATAGTTTACATACCCAAGCATAATATATATATTAAGGTAAGCCAACCAACAACCAAAACTTGGAAACAGTCTCAGGTTGTCGTGTTTATAAGAAAACTATAATATACTTATTTACAAGCTTGTAGAAGTAAATGGGTCTCCAGTAAGCTCAGATTTAAGTAGTAAACCGTCGTAAGGTCTGGATCATTGAAAGAATAGCAATGATATGTCTTTGAAACAAAGTAAACACAAGAGGCTCACATGACTGATCCAAACTCGCATTTTTATTAACTTTAGTTTTTGCACCAAAACGCCTAACTTTTGCTGGTAACTGACTATGTCCGGAAAGCAATGGTAAATTGCAGACACTCTTATGGAGTCTATCCTTTGACATTCTTATGGAGTCTATACCAAAAGAACCACAAGGCTTCAAGAAATCAAACTACGCCTGTTTATATTGTACGTGATATTGGTGGGATTCATTAAATTTGAATATAACTGTCTGTTAAAGTAGGATTCAACACAGACACAGAGACATGTACATACACAATCTTGACATTTTTTTTCATCTATACACCCTTAAGACAGATTGGTTTTGTACTACTGGTGTTAGTTTTTCTGATTATCACCATGATATATATTTTCTTAACGGTAGTAAATAAGTTGAAAATATCTTCCATGGTCATGATTATGCATAGTTGAAGGGAGCCATCAGGAAGAAAAGATTAAGATATCTAGTTCAGTCCACCGAAAGGGTTCATAAGATCAAGATTTTAGAAACGGTATTGTTTGATTTGATTGCTTGATTAATTCATAAGAGACGCTTTTAACTGTGTTATTTTGACTCCTATATTCTTGCTTTATTTAAATTTATTTAATGTGATCAATTATAGGTGGGATACTGACAGCCATTTGATTGGTTTTCTAGGTACGATGTTCTAATAGAAAACCTAATGGATCCTGCTCATGTTCCGTATGCACACCATGGAATAATGAAAATTCCGAAACGTCCTGGAGGACCTCCACCTGACAGATATGTATATCTAGAAAACTTCTCTTTAGACATTATTATTGCCTTCTATGGTATTTTTGCTGCAATTGTGTCCTTAACTTTTCAAGATTCAGTCAACGAGTTGGAGGTTAATTCCCCACATCTTTGCTAACCATAAATACATTGCTTTGAGTCGTTCTTATTAGTCATCACTGTTTGGTTTTGCTTAATTTATGTCGCTAACTGATAGAATTCTTTCACAGAGGGAGGGAGGCCGCTAGAAATAAACATTAAGACATTAGATCATAATGGGTTCCTTTCCAAACAGCAATATGGATACAGTAAGTTTGTAGCTCCTTGTCTCTATTATGCTTCCCCAAGTTTGGGTTCAAACAATGGTTCTGTTTCATCTGCAAGCACTGAAAAGGTAATAAATTATAAGCTTGCCTATGACCGTATATAACCTTTCTGGTCTTGGATTTTCTTCTTTTGTGTTCTCTAATTTTCATTTATCTAACTTGGATTTTCAGAATTCTCCAGCTGAAGTCCAAAAGAAACAGCGAAGAGTGCTTCTTATTTTCTTCTGTATTCCAGTTAGTCCAGGAGAAAGCAGAGTAATTTGGGTGTTTCCAAGAAATTTTGCAGTTTGGATTGATAAAGTTATTCCACGGTGGATTTTTCATGTGCGGAATAACTTGATTCTAGATTCGGACCTCTACCTTCTCCATGTAGAGGTAATTTTGATATTCTTTCAGAGTTGGTCTTTTTTTTGCCACAGTAACAATTTGGAAATTTCTGTTAGCCTTGTACACTTTTTACGTTCAAAGTTCTTAAACACTTCATCCTGATGCACACGTGATTATGCATTATCTGTTGAGAATCTTGAAACCTGCGGAACATAGGTAGTTACTAGTTCTCTATTTTCATAAAAAATTGTCATCTCTGCAGTGTAAAGTCATGCAATTTGATGCTTTTCTGCATTTAAGTTTTTGTTCAGGATTTAGACGTGCAGCCCCTTTTCCCTGACCAAGGTTGAGTGAATTCTTTCTCATTGAATAAATTCAAACCCAGAAATAGTGGTTGTATAGGACATCTATCCAGTTGGGCAAAGGATGATGGTAAATGTGATATCCTCATAGAATAGGTGTACAATTTTGGTCTAAGGTGTGGCCATTACGCTGTTGATGCAATAAATAGTAGCCTCATCATTTTGTTTTATGGATATCTTGAGAAGAAGATACGAAGATTCAGAAGAGAATTATTCTTGAATTGCCTACATCTTTCTGTAGGCCTGTTTGTGACCCTTTAGTTCTTGCTTTCTTTTGGAAAACCTATTAGTTCTTGCTTTTTTGCATGGAAAAAGTAGCGGTCCAAGTTTACTGAGATATATGACCGCCAAGCCTTGTCCCAGATATGTATGTCAGGGTATGGTTCCCCACATCATTTAAGAGGCCAATTTCTCAAGCGTGAATATTAGTTTCAGATGTGCACCCATCAATCATCATGTATGATTGCCGATCATTTGCAATCTACAGACTTTAAGATAGGCATTTAAAACGATGCCAGTGACATTGATATAATTGCACAAAAGGTTCTAGGTACATAATTTGTTCATGCGATTACTTGTATAATCATTAGCTGTAAGACAAAACTAGTGTTTCCAAATGGGGTGAATATTTGATTAGGTTCATCAATGAAGCTGGACTTTGTCATGAGGAAGAGCATGCATGATCAATTGGTTCACCATTGAGAGCCATGCTTTATGAAGTATGGTTTGATGTGGTCGTTTAGATTATTTGAGCAATTACATTAAGATTTTGCTCCTTCAGGTACTATTGTCATGATTTTCTTGACATATTTTATATATGAAGATCATAGATGGTGGTAATTTTATTCAGGCAGGTACGCAGTAACTGCAGATTACAATGATGTAACGTTCTGCTAACAGTTATACTTGCTTTTACTAAGTTGAAAATTGTCTTTCCGTTTAGATTATATGGGGGTAAGCTTTACTTTTCAGGAGCGCAAGATTGCTGAGGTTGGTGCTTCCAATTGGCAGAAAGCATGTTTTGTGCCTACCAAATCTGATGCTCAGGTTATTGCCTTCAGAAAATGGTTCAGAAAATATTCTAATGATCAGGTTGATTGGGGTGCTAAGTTTAATGGGCTTCTCCCTCCTACTCCTGCAAGGGAACAACTAATGGACAGGCAAGCACATAAACAAAGAGTTATTGCGCGAACATTATTATTATCAATTATTATTATCATATAGTTTTTTTTCTGTTTGTTCGCATGACATCACTATATCTGAAAAGTGGAATAGACCTATGCTTCTAGAAGGGATGACAACTTGTAGATGTACTGGATACTGAAAGTATAAAGATTTCATACTAAGTGGTCATTGGTGCGGCAACAAGAGGAAAATGTGGTTCAAATACTGGAAGGGGTACAAAAGACATAATTCTGCACAACAAATAATGGATAAAAGATTTCATACTTTTATAAAAAAATACAATTAGGTTTAATTCCCCTAAGAAGTAAGAACTTGATTCTGGTGGCATAACCTGTATACTGTATCCTCGTTACTGAATCTAGAACTCTTCATCTGCCCATGATCACTGGAGTGATCTTCCTTGTTTTACAGTTTTATTCAATCAGTTTTCTTGCTGACATTTTCAGCGAAGACACATCTTTACCCATTTATCTTCTCCCTCTTATACTTCGCTTCTAATTTTCTCTGCATGTTCGATATGCGCTGATGCATCAACTAGGAGAAATGATAAGATTACAATTGAAGTATATTACCCTTAATAGGAGTGACCAAATGAACAAGATTCTTATTGCCCATCCCAAAAATTTAGGATCAAAACTTTCAGCTTTTATTTGATGGGTAATGACTAGTAACTAAGTGGACAATTCTAACTTTTACTTTGTTCAGATATTGGACCCATGTTGTGAACTGCAGCAGCTGTCGTGCTGCTGTGAAGGGTTTGAAAGTGCTCGAGGTATGTCTTCAGGTTATCTCAATAGGCTTAATTGGAATTATAGCCGCTGCAAGGGAGAAGATAGTTTCTACCGCAACAAGAACTGCAACTGTGTCGACAGCGTTGCTATTTTACCTGGCTTCAAGGTGGCTAGCTCACTTCATTTACAGAAACTTCTATTATCATGACTACAACCATGCTTTCAAGTGACAACCAGAGCCTCCTTGTTTCCTCTGTTCTCTACCTGTATAAATCGAATACAGCAACACATTTCTCTGTACTATATATGTATATATATATATATCTGTCTATAAAGTTTCTGCTAGGACGAAAGAAACGAGAACTTCAACCTTGCTATAAGTGAGACTGCAATAAAAATTCAACCTTGTTATAAGTCATGTAAAATCTTCCACTATGTGAATAACGGGAATACGACAGATCGTCCCTGTGCTGAACTTTTAAAACTAAGCGATGGCAATGCAAGACTTCACCTGCAAAGAACGGATGACAAGGGGGCAACTCTCACCCTATGCGATGATGTAGAAAATTACAAGCACTCTTCGATTGGAAAACTTGGGTTTTCCGGTCGTCAGTATCTCACTATTGATAACTAGAATGCATCAGTGGGGTTGAGATGTGTCATCATTCTCCTTTGTAACCCACCTGCACGTTGAATTTTTCGTATTTGAAGTTATTCGATTGAAATTGCTACTATATACCCTGATTAAGTTAATTTGAACTTAGTTCATTGCGTCATTGAAAATTACTATTAGGTCCTCCTAGTCCTAGTTCTTAAGTTCTGAAATTAGCCCCTCCTATCAAGAATGAAAGTAGCAATTAGCGATAAATTAGTTCCACCTAAGGGGGTAGTCACCTAGAACTTAAAATTAGAACTAGGATAATCAGTGAGATAAATTTTTAAGGTGTTAGTCACATAGAACTAAAACTAGAACAAAATTTTACAAGTGTTAGTCAAGTAGAACTCTAACAAAACTATAATTGGGATAATGGTACAAAGTTATCCCACTTTTTTCATTTTTCTATACAAAAATGAGAGTTCTACTCTCTCAAATTATTCCAAGTTTTAGGTTGGAACTAGATGGTAAAAAACTAGAATTCATATTTATTTTGTTATTTTTTATATTTCTTTTTTTTCTTTACTTCTTTCCTATTATGGTTATCACCATCATTAGACCATCATCATAATAATAATTATCAATATCTTATAGTCTAACCAAAAGTTATTTAATAATAAAGAACATTCTCATAAGTAATTATCAATCAATATAGTAAGTTTAAAATACATAAATAGTATTTATATCTTCAAATGCATAAATATATACTTCATGATTATAAAAATTTATCCCACGTTATTTTATCAAAATATCCCGCTTTACAAAATTGTTCCTATTTATCCCACTAAAATATCACACTAGCGAAAAATTATTTCACTTTTACAATTATTTCATTTTGCATGAAAATGTCCCAATTGACTAACACCCCCTAATTGTTACGTATTCTTAATTGGAGGGGCTAGTTTCAAAGTAACTAACGAATTGAGAGAAGTAATAGCAATTTTCAATGATTTGAGGGACTAATTTTGAAATACTTCAGAATTTGGGGACCGCTAATTCAAAATATGAAAGATTTTTGGTAAAATCACCCTAACCCCCCCCCCCCCCCCAACCCCTCCCAGTCCCCAGGATGAACTTTTCTGAATTTGCAAAAAGCCTCCATGAACAATCAAATCACATTAAACCCCCATGAACTTTTTGAAATTGCAGAAAACCCCCATGAAGTTTTTACCCCATGAACTTTTTGAGTTTTAACCCCCATCAATTAGGACAAATAACAACATAAGAAGGCATCTTGAAAGTTCATGGGGTTTTTGCAAGTTATGGGGGGAGTTTAGTGTGATTTTGAAAGTTCATGGGGTTTACTACAAACACTTAAAGTTCATGGAGGTTCAGTGTAATTTACCCAAAATTAAATTAGCCGAAAAAACAATTTTAATTTTTCTAAACAAAAAAAATATCTTCATGGAAAGTGGGTACAGTTTTTATTAGATATTATTATTCCAAGGAGAAACAAAATAATGAGTGGAAGCCGAAGAAAAGACTATATATCAAAATAGGATCGTGCTATTTGGCTCGTGCTATTTGGCTCGCACTTTAACGCGCGAACCAACTCGCACAGGGGGGGGCATTGACACAGTGGGTCCCACCCTTTTC